AAATTGATATCAGCTGGAAGGATGGTACAGATTCATTTTTCAAAACAATTTTATTATTTGTAACTATGTTTTTAATTGTTTGTTATTCAGATCTTTATCAGATCAGATGTTTTAAAAAAATTTAAAGATGCCACAATTTTAAAAAGATCAAATTATAAGATAAATTCCAGTTATCAACATTTATTCATTTATTTTCTTTTCGGCTTAGTCCCTTTATTAATCTGGGGTCACGGCAGTGGAATGTACCGCCAACTTATCCAGCACGTTTTTACATAGCGGATGCCCTTCCAGCTGCAACCCATCTCTGGGAAAATCAACCTGACACTATAGATTTAATTTAAGCAAACTCTGAAACATTTGATTTAAACACAATTTTTTTTAGCTTTTTTATATTCTAAAGTAAATGTTGAAAGCCTAGTTCTAGATCAACTGTTAACATACAAAAATGCTTTTTAAAAATACAGTTATATTACAGTGCTTTATGGTAAATACTTATAATTGGTGTATAATATCTTTCTTGAAATCATATGAGTAGATGGATGGTAAATCTATTTATCTATATCTCTACCTCAGTCAGATCATTTTAGCTTGTTTACCAAATACATAAAAAACTCCCACTGACCTATATAGTTTCCACATTATATCAAAGAGCATTATTAGGAGATTTGTAATGCCTTGAGGCCATTTATATACATCTAAAAGCACAGGCTGTCAGCAGAGAGAGAGAGAGAGAGAGAGAGAGAGAGAGAGAGAGAGAGAGAGAGAGAGAAAAAGTATGTGTGTGTTTGTGAATGCAGCATCTTCAATAAAGCTCATCCCTCAAGTAAAACCATTACTTTAGCCATCTGGGAAATTTTCCAAGAGGAATAAAAATAACCTCTCTAGCTGTCCTGCGCACATTAAGCAAACATTTTGCTGCTTTTTTTGTTGTTAAAGGCAAAGACACTGGCCCAGAACTGTAAAAGCAGGTCTGAGAGATTCGCTGCAGGGTCTTAAACCCACAAGATGCTTTGATACAACTACAATAAACATTAATCAAAATTTTTTTCTGCATTTTTATTTTGGAATTTTTGGTTTACATTATTTTGCACAATCATTGGGGTGGCTCAGTGGTTAGCACTGTCACCTCACAGCAAGAAGGTCACAGGTTCTAGTCCCCGTTGGACTAGGTGGCATTTCTGTGTGGAGTTTGCATGTTCTCCCTGTGTTTACGTGGGTAACCTCCGGAAGCTCCGGTTTCCCCCACAATCCAAAGACATGTATACGCTATAGGTGAATTAAATATAAACTAAATTAGCCGTAGTTTATGAGTGTGAATGTGTGTATGGGTGTTTCCAGTACTGGTTGCAGCTGGAAGGCCATCCGCTATGTAAAACATATGCTGCAATAGTTGGTGGTTCATTCTTACCCCTGAAATAAAAACTAAGTCCAAGGAAAATGGATGAATGAATGCATGATCATTTTGACTGCATTAATGCATTAATGCATTAGCAAAAATGCATTGGCAAAAAGTGTTTATTTAGATTTTCTTACATTTCACTCATTGCCTTTTATAAATCTATTATTCATTAAGATTGTAAAAAAAGTCTATTGCATGTATTTAAAAAATCACAAAAGTTAAATATTAATCATAAAATATCATATATTCTTTAAAAACTGCTTTCATTTAGTTTGAAAAGCTTAAAAAATAAGTATTTTGGCCATTTTTGACATTTGACCTGTGAAATAAATAATAGCTTGATTTCTACTTTCGAACTTCCAAAAAAAAAAAAAAAATGTGTGCCAAAAGAACTGTAAATAAACAACTATGCATGCTCCGATCAGGATTTTTGCTGCCGATATGGAGAACTGATTCTTTGTCATGGTGATCGGCTGATCCCGAGTACCGAAGCTGATGCCTCAAGCATTATAATTTATAAAGCACATTTTAATTCAGTCTAGTCAGGTATTTTTACCAATTTGCAGCTGTCACAGAGCCGGTATGAATATGCGGGAGACACACAGAGCTTCTGACAGAGGTCATACAGTTGCATGAAACACTCGATAGGTGCAATCGCTCTGCTTGCGTCACAGCAGCTCCAAACACTGGACGATGATTGCAACAAAGAGCCCATTACTCATGTGAGTTACGCCAATAAACTGTATAAACAAAGGTTGCACTGCATCTGTATGTAAATTTAGCTGCTGTTATTTGGTGATCTATCATCATTCATCTCCTCACGTGTTGTAGCTGCTGTATGTATAACCCAGGATGTATGTTTAAGTGCATTTTCCTCTGCTTGTAAACTCATAAACAAACACTTGCGATCGGTTCATGAGATCGGCCAGATTGGTGAGTACCAATCGAGTCATTAAATGTATTTAACGTCCGATACCTATCTCCGGCCGATCGATCGGCAGCATCCATATGAACAACTTTGTTCTCTGATTGTTCAACCATCTGCCCCTGGGTCTTCACTTTGAGCACCTGTCCCTCGAAAGGTCTCTGCACAGCCCTGATCTCAATACACAAGCAGTCTATTAGCCATTGTAAATATGCACGCTGATCTAATGAGGAAGACATATCAGTGGTCTTAAACGTAACTCCTGGAGGGCCACAGCTCTACAGATTTTAGCTTCAACCACCTCCAACTCACACCTTTTTAATAGTCTCTAGTAGTCTTGAACACCTTGATTAGTTAGAACAGCTGTGTTTGATTAGGATTGGAGCAAAACTGTGCAGAGCTGCATCCCTCCAGCGGTCTGTTCTATGTCTGTATGTGGATTAATTAGCTGGATTTGGTTATTGACGATTTGACACGATCCAGGATCGTTTCGTTCTTCAAAACTCATCCAAGAGTTGTCATAGCAACAGTTCTGGTAGCTCAAAGCTGCTCGGGAGCAGTCTTATTTCATATAAACAGGATTAGATTGGTTTGGTTCAAGCAAAGGTAATTCAAGAGTTCCCACTTAGATCTGCTTGGCATCTATGGCAGGTTTGGCATGCTGTCCCGGGAGAGAACCCTGAGCTCAGAGATATTTGAGCCCAGGGCTCCCGCTCGGTCTAGAAGCATATCAGGAGAACCGAGATCAGGTAGGTCTCGATTGCTCCCCCTTTAGAAGGGGAGAAAAAGGAGGAGATGGGGTGGAAGGGGGGATTCTTTCAAAAAGAAGATGGAGCAATAAGCAGAAAGTGATCCATTTATATTAAGCTAGGATTATTCTGATTGGATTATTACTGATTACGGATGAGAGGCCAGCGGTGCACAATCATATCACATGCTCCTCTCAAAATTAGTTTATAAAACTTCACTACTGAAAGTATGTATCGAATGCTGATAAAGTTGAAGTAAGAATTATTAATCCCCCCTGAATTATTATGTTCCCCCCCCCCCCCCCCCCCCCCAATTTCTGTTTAACGGGGAGAAGATTTTTTCACTACATTTCTAAACATTATAGTTTTAATAACTCATATTAACTGATTTATTTTATCTTTGCCATGATGACAGTAAATAATATTTTTAATATAAATAATAATATATTTCACAATTTTCAATACATTTAAAGGCTTAGCTAGGTTAATTAGATTAACTAAGCAAGTAAGGGTAGTTAGCAAAGTTATTGTATAATGATGATTTGTTCTGTAGACTATCGAAAAAATATATATAGCTTAAAGGAGCTAATAATTTTGACCTTAAAATTGGTTTAAAAAAAATTAAATCTGCACTCTGAAATAAAAGTACAAAGACTGTCACCTGGTGGTTCAAAGAGAAAATTTATTGATATGGACTTTTCAAATACAAAAACATAGAATCGCTTTAGTACAATTTGTGTATGATAATAGACATTCACAATATTCAACTTTTTTTAAGGAATAAAACATTAATGCAGTCATGCACCTGTTTTGATGGCTAATATGACGATGATTTTATGTTTCACAAAAGTTGCTGTAAAACTAAATAAATTGCTAAACACTACTGACATGAAAGTGTAAAACCTGCAGCCCACAACAAAGTTGAGAAGTTATTGCGTATCATATTTAATAAACCGTTTAATATGAACGTCAAGTAATTTGGCTCCCATGGATGATTGAATACTATTCAGATAATGCCATTACGCTGCTGTGCCATCAGCCAACTATTGCATTGCTGATTATGATTTCCTTCACAACACACGCAGCGATCTCAGATAAATTTATCCAGACATTTTAATCTGATTCGCGAACTTGTTTGAAGAACCAAATTAGCGAGTGATCAGTTATGAAGATTAAAAAAACCAGAATCAAATGATCTTGGATCATTTAAGCAAGGTACGAAGAACGGACCCCTGGAATTGAGTTTGAGACCCATGACCCATGGTGTTTTTTATGTTTTTGGTGCACAAAATTGTTCTTGGACTTGTATGATTACAGTTGCACCACATGAAATGTTTTGACACTTGTTTTTGCAGAAATGTTGCTTGGAGGATGAAAGAGCTCTCTGATTTCATCTAAAATATTTTCATTCGTGTTCTGAAGATGAACGAACGTCTCAGGTGTTTAGGGCAGCATGCAAGTTAGTAATTAATAACATAATAATTAGTAACTTAATCATAATAATAATAACCTTTCAATGATGTTTTTGACAAGGATATTTAGGTTCTCTAGAAGACACCATAAAATAAAGCATTACCATTCATTTTCTAGTTAAAATAGGCTTAAAATCTGCTTTTAATCTAACAATTCAGTACTGTAGCAAGGCACTGTCCAGACACAAAAAAGCTATGACAGAAATCTGATTGAAACAGTGATTTTAACTTCATTCATACTACAACGGTGAGGCCATTAGTACATTTCAGACACACAAAAGACAAATCTGGGTTTGTGTTTCCCTTCAGCTACGATGACGTTGATGCTTGACAACACTGAATGGCATCTTTTCAGATGAAGCCATTTGAAGCCAAGCGCAACTAAAGGAATCCTGCATAGAAGTCACATCCACATCAGAGCAGCTCCTGCTGGATAACATCTAATAGAGTCTGACATGGCAGCAAACAGCACTTTTGTGAGTTTTGATGGTGGCATTCAACGACTTGAAGGTGAAGACACCAAACTAATCATACCAGCTGTTCTCAGCACAATCAGCGGGATTGGCATTGGTGGAAATCTTTTGGTTCTCGTGGTACTAATCTACGTTTTCGCCAGCCAGAGTGCATCCGAGGCATACGTCATGCTCGCCAATTTGAGCGCAACTGATCTGTTGATACTTTCTTTGTGCGCTCCTGTACGCGCAATCACATATTACAAGCAAACGTGGACACTCGGGATACTGGCTTGCAGAACTACTGAATGGATCCAACACAGCTGTCTGGCGGTCAAAGCTTTCACATTGCTTGCAACGAGTCAAGCGCGCCATAGCTTCTCCAGGAATCCAGAAGACCAACTGAACTTTCGTCAGAAGAATGTTGTGATAACCCTAGCCCTCATATGGACCCTCGCGCTATTGTTTCCGGTTCCTGACATCCTTTTCTCTAGGTTAAAGGAAGAGGGAAACATCAGTCTCTGTATCTCTGAACGTACCTTCAACTCCCAAGATGCAATGCGAATATTCCATAAGTTGCTGCCATTAGGCATCTACGTTCTTCCGGTCATCCTCTCTGCTGTGAGCCACATTAGGAACATCTTCCTCATCAAACCAAGTTCAAATGACGAAGCTTTTTTTTCACGCCAGTATGAGAATTCCTTAATGTATTTAAGCATCATTGCCATCAACACGCTCCTGATGCTTCCCGAATGGGTGTCTTGGGTATGGATGCGTCATAAATCTAGTGAAAGCTGCAAACCTTCAGCTGCTTTGCTGATTTTCGCTCAGGTGTGCGTTTATTTGAGCAGTGCCGTCTTTCCTGCTGTTCTTCTCACCATGTATGTTCCACTCAGAGAGAGTCTTGGGAATCTGTGCTCTTTGTTGGCTTGTCGACAGAGTAAACACAGGCTTAGGAATGTCAATGAGATGCGCATGGTGGTCATGAAAGTGCTGGATGAACGGGCATGTGCAACTTTATCAGACAAGCATTCAGATGCATCCTGTCAAACTCTTCCAGATCTGGAGCATTTTTGGAGCGAACGGCGAAACACTACGGTTGCTGAGGATAGTGACCCATTACCATGGGAGAGACTTGTTCAAAGCAAGGTTGAACTCCAGCCCTTGACGTCTGTTGTACCCCTGCTGGAAAATCCAGTTTAATATGTTATTGTAGATGGAGAATGATGGATGATCAAAGATGGCTAACCATCTAGAAATCCACTGCCCAACTTGTCACACCATCAAAAGTTGGTCAAGCTGTTTATTTGTTTATTTTTTGTAGCATGTTAGCTCATGAATAATATAATTTTATATAAAACATGATGGCATAAGCCTTGTAATATTTTGGCGGCATTGAGAGTCAATTGTGGATTCATGTATTGGCTAAATGCATGTATAAACTACACAAAGGTTTTGCACTGCATTGTTACTCAAAAAGGTTACATGAATAATTTTGAAGTAAACAATCTTATTGCCACTGGTCTGCTTTTGTTTTATCGTATATTATATAATATAAATGTTTGTATATAAATATATGTTTTAAGTTCATGTAAACAATAAAAAATTGGTTTGTTATGATGATGTGATTTGTTTATTTCAAGACTTCATTTGCAAAGTAATCCTCAAATGTATCATCAAACATATCATTAAAAATACATATATATTGCTATGTTTACATTTATTTGATATCAAAAGAATGAAAAGAATGTAAGGTCTGTGGCCAACAAACATCCTGTCAGCATGTTGTATTGTGTTACAGGCTTTATTAGTGCCGTATGAATAAGTAGCTTTAGGTGCTTTTTACATGAGGTGCTTTTAAAAGATCATGGTTCGTTCAACTAAAAGCCTCCTTTTGGTTACCACAAATTACACTCTGACATTTGCTCTCTTTTTCTCTCTCTTTTATTTTTCTATTTATGTTTTTGAGAATTCAACATACTGTGTGTGAAATGCAATATGAAGACAGCCCTTAAAAACATGCAACCCTAATAAAACTAGATTTTTTTTTTTTTGCATCAATAACCTAAAGCATCTTGACCGATTTGTTTGATGTAGGCGTCTCTAGTATATATACATACATACATTTAAAAAAAATGTGTGATTAGAAACAGTTCAATTCTACATTTACAAATTATAAAGTGCTATATGTATTTTTACCGATTGTGTAAGCTAAACATAAGGCCAGTGATTTGTAGATGGTATACTACCTATACTATAGTGGCTAATATGTACACAATTGCATATTGCAGACAGTTGATCAGTGAGAGGTTTACTGTAGCCAGAGGAGACATGCACATGTTATTCATAATTTTTAATAGTATCATATCCATTACCAATGAATAGAGTGAAAAGAATTAATCGGTCAAGTGAAAGAAATGGACAGTACAGCTTCACTTTGTATATACATCACCATCTACTGGTCTTCTTTTAGTTGGTCAGGCAATCATTTATCACAGTCTAATAATATTCACTCAAAAAAAGATTATTTTTTGGTTCCACTGAGAACCCTTTTATGTCCATTTTGTCAAATGTTAAACAGAAGGATATTATGATTATTCTTTGTATAAATCGAAATCGGTTCTTCTATGGCATCATTGTAAACCCTGTGTTTATAAAGATTCATTGCACCTTGTAGGCCTTTGGACAGGTAAATATTCACTTTTCTTTAAAAGATACTTTATTAGGCATTTGTTAAATTGTGCATTTTCATCTCTTTCTGTTTTTTTAATTAACACTGACAATATATTTACTTTCCATGTCTATAGCAAAATCCATATCTATACCATTCATTTTCTTTTCTGCTTAGTTACTTTATTGATCTAGGGTCACCACAGTGGAATGAACCACCAACTTATCCAGCAAATGATTTTACGCAGCAGATGCCCTTCCAGCCGCAATCCATCACTGGGAAACACCCATACACTCTCATTCACACACATACACTACAGACAATGTTAGCTTACCCAATTCACCTGTACCTAATGTCTTAACACTTGTGGGGGAAACCGGAGCACCCGTAGGAAACCCACGCAAATGCGGGGAGAACGTGTAAATTCCGTGTAAAAAACCAACTGATGCAGCTGAGGCTCGAACCAGTGACCTTCTTGCTGTGAGGCGACAGAAAATAAAATACAACCAAATTATAAGACTATTATAACATTCCAAGTTATTATTGCTTTTGTTAGCAGTTTGTTTGGATTAAAATCTTACAAAATCATGAGTGATCAACCAACACTGTAAAGTCTTTAGTATATGCGCATACCTGTGATCCTGCATCTGCGTGGTATATTCAAAGTTTTATAGTTACATTATGGGTGGTTCTTGTGATCCTTCATCCTTTATTAGAGTGATAGATAGCCCTCAAGAGTACAATAAATGACTTAGACTTTAATTTTTTCCCAAAGTTTTAAAATGATTTTCTTGTAATGTCAGTGGAGGATGGTGATTATACAAAATGTATTATTCAATGAGAAAAATGCAATATTATGGTTTTAGGGTGTTGCAGGATGTAAACACTGCTAGAAGACTGGATGAAATAACTGATTTGAAAACACTCAGTATTAACAAAAAGGACATGTCTTTCTGGTGCGGATAAAAACAACACAAAAAAGTGTAAAAATAGTAAGATAAACTTCAATTTAGAAAATCTGCAAGCGTTTACTGTTTCATTCATTCATTTTCTTTTTGGCAGTCCCTTTATTAATCTGGGGTCGCCACAGCAGAATGAACTGCCAACTTATCCAGCACGTTTTTACACAGCAGATGCCCTTCCAGCCGCAACCCATCTCTAGGAAAGACACACTCATTCACACTCATACACTACGGAAAATTTAGCCCACCCAATTCACCTGTACCGCATATCTTTGGACTGTGGAGGAAACCGAAGCACCCGAAGGAAACCCACGCAAACACAAGGAGAACATGCAAACTCCACATAGAAACGCCAACTGACCCGAACCAGCGACCTTCTTGCTGTGAGGCGACAGCACTACCTACTGCACCATTGAATCACTGTTTACTGGTTCATTAACATATCTGTAATAAAAATAATATTGTTTTTCTTAAACTTGGTAATAAGAAAAAATAAACTTCTGTTTTATGAATTTGGTAATTTACTTACCGGGTAGGGTACTTGCGGGATAATCTGTACAGAGAATTTGATTATCTTTAACGCCAATGGGCAGGTGGTTGTTTTTGAAAAAAAAAAAAATAATAAAAATAAATAAATAAATAAATAATAATAATAATTTATTTTAATTTTAGCTTAGTCCCTTTATTTATCAGGGTTCACCATGGCGAAAATGAACCGCCAACTTATTCTGCATATGTGATATGCAGCAGATGCCCTTCCAGCTGAAACCCAGCACTAGGAAACACCCATACACTCTCATTCACACACATACACTACAGATAATTTAGCTTACCCAATTTATCTATAGTGCATGTCTTTGGACTGTGGTAGAAACCGGAGTACCTGGAGGAAATGTACGCGAACTTGGAGAGAACATGCATACGCCACAAAAAAATGCAAACTGACCCAGCCAAGGCTCTAAACCAGCAACCTTCTTGCTGTGAGGCGACAGTGCTACCCACTGAGCCATAGACACTAGAGTCTACAAAAATACTAGAAGGAAGGAAGAAACACAGCTACATCAAATAAAATTGATAATGGTGTTTTAGATTGGAATTGGCAATTCATATTGGTTGCACCGAGGGGCCCCCCCAGTAAAATTCAGTTTTCAAATTTTTTTATTGTGAATAATAATAACTGGTCAAATAAAATACAAAAATAATTCAATCAAACCTGGTGTTTTGAAAAGGCTAAAACTATTATGATATAATTACTTATCTTTCATATTCAATAATTCTGACGTGTACGATGCTTTGAAGTGATGTATCATTTAATTTCATTTAAATTTCACTGTCCTTGCATCCTTTCCTTGCGTCCTTCCCTTGCATCAAACGGGATGCACTAAATGGAATTGAAACTGCTCAGTTTTTGTCAGCTAGCTTTATGTATTATTTAATTTATTTGCGCTTTCATTTTCTCTAAAAATGACTGTATCTAGAAACTGGAATCCGTAATTGCTGCTGAAATTGGACCACACTTATATTTTGATGATGACATCAGCGATCACCCACTATCTGAGAGATTTAGACACACAACCTTAAATGTTCTTTTATGACTTTGAACTAAACTAGCAAGTCCAATTGGCAATGTAGCGTATTCATCCGCTCCCTTCCTGTTTATCAGTTGCATCATTATCTGCTCTTTTACAGCTATCATACCTTTAACAGCTGCATAATTAAAATATAACTATGTATTACAAAGTTTACCTAACCAGGCAGTATGCTTTCTACCTCACAGTTTGTCCACTAGTTGCACCCGCCAACAAAATAAAATAGCCTATATAAAAATATGGCCCAATTCAAAATCAACATTCCAAAATCCTTTTAAACACGGAAATATGAGAATTTAGTGTCGTAATACTGTATCAAGTTGATCCACAGTTCTGAGATCCAATGAAAAGCGCAACGTGCGCTCTGACAGGGGAGGGCTGAGCTTTAAATGCAAGACGGAAGACGTGCATATCGAAAGTTAGTAGTAGAAGCCGCGAGAGGTAGACTGACCTTCATTTAAACGGTAAGATTAAAAACAATACATTACTACAGTGTGAGTTCTTTTGTGAATAAACGACACTCTTTGTTTCGTTTGTAAAGTTCGGTTGCGTAATGCTCGCGCACCATGTTTAGACAATGATGAAAATGTAAATTACAGTACAAACAGGCGGATTGTTGTTTTGAAAATACACGTCACATGAATTTAAAATGCTATAATTGAACATTTATGTTTATACGACTATTTTTCCTTGAAGAGTCGACATACAGCACAAAGAGTGTATTCTGTTTATTTACTGCAGGCTATTACTCGTATGTATGGCTTTGAAATGTTATATACAGCTCAATTTAGTGGTATGCTGTATATCAATGCATGTTGACGTTTCCTGATCAAATCACCTTAAAGTGCCTTCTTCTAGACTTTACAGGGACGTTTAGAGGACATTCCTTGTGAGAGTAGCTTTGCCAGTTTCCTTGAACACAAGCCAGTTAAACAGTCTGTCATTGTGACCTCTACCTCGTGCTTTAAACCCTATAATAATTTATTAGAAACTGTGAATAGTCTTGGATCTGGCTGGCTGCACATTAGCTCTGTGCAAAGAAAAGCACCTGACTACTTTAGTGTGACTAGGAGTGAATGAAGCCTCGTGTATCTGTTATCATTAAAGAGATGACAGATAATAATAACATATGGCTTTGTTCAGGGTAAATTTTTTTGTGTTTGACCTTTGAGTGCCGTGCTTTAGTTTAGAAGAGGTGTGCTGTCACTGAATCGGACAACAGATTATAAATGCTGAGCTGTTTAAGTGCAAACAGACCAAGGTTCAGACTAAAAACACAGCGTGTTCATAGGCATTCTGTCAGCATGTCCTGTGGAAAATATGGAAAATATTAATAGTATGAATCAGTAGCCTAGTTGTGAGATGATTGATGTCTGGTAAATGTTGTGGAGCTTTTGTTGTTGTTTATTTTATATCAATAGTTATAGCTACTGAACAGGTCTAATAGCACAGCTATCCACTGAAAAGCAGGGCGTTGCTTTCTTAAAAGCAAAGGATCCTTTATCCTTTTTTTTTTTTGTATAATATGCAAAAAGGTACATACATTTGGATCATACAAATACAAAGAAACATCAACAAAAAAAACATAACCAAATAACAACAAAAAAACAAAACAAAAACAATATAGTCAGGTACTGTTAGGTGTGTGTGTGTGTGTGTGTGTGCGTGCGTGCGTGCGTGCGTGCGTGTGTGCGTGCGTGCGTGCGTGCGTGTGTGCGTGTGTGTGTGTGTCCATGTAAAAGTAACTTGGTGGACAGGTCAGAGTACATACATAAGGAACAATAACAGTCAATAAATAAAGCAAGTATCGCAGATATAAGTAAAACAGATAGAAAGAAACCAGTCAGAGGTAGGGAGTAACAACAATGCTTAGTAATGTATGATAGTAATAATGACAGTAAAAAGAAAGGACAACAGTAATAATAACTGACAATGATAATAAATCACAAGTACTACACCAACTATTACTACAGAAAGTTACTTATATTACAACTACTACTGCTGCTACTACAGCCACAACCACGACTATTACTACTATAATGTCTACTAATACTGATACTACCACAACAATGACTACCACTACTGATACTACATCAGAGTCTGCTACAACTAATACAACAACATGTACTACTACTATTACTACTACAACTACCGCCATCACTGCTACTACAACATGTACATTAACAACATCTACTACTGGTACTACTACACCAACAACGACTAATACTGCTACAACGACACCTTTACTACTTCTGCTACTACTATACCAACAACATCAACTACTACAGGAACTACTACTTCAATAATCACAATTACAAACGATACTACTACAATAACTACTACTACTACTACTACAACACCAACAACAACTACTGCTACTACTGCTACAACGACACCTTTACTACTTCTGCTACCAGTATACCAACGACATTAACTACTACAGGAACTACTACTTCAATAAATCACAATTACAATCGAAACTACTACAATGATTACTACTACAACTACTACTACAACTACAACAACTACTACTGCAACCTTAATAATGAAAATAGTATTAATAATTAAAATAATGATAATGAAAAGATAACAGGAGGACAGGTCAGAACAGTAATAATAATAATGATAACAAAAGTAAAAGTAATACCATTAATGATAAAAGTGACGGGGGGGAGGGGAGGTTGGGAAATCAGGGAGAGGACAGTATCCTTAATCCTACAAAAAAAAAAACAAGATAGATATTGCGACAGGCCTAATAATGTTTGCATCACTTCTCGAAGAACTACAGCTTGCGTAGTGAATGCTGCGCATGAAAACATCAAATATAATAGTGTCTTTACCACAAAGTTCTTTCAAAACTGTTCTGTGAGATGATTCCATATGGTTATGTGATTATTAGTAATGCTGAATCAATGAAAGCAGTTAAACAGTTTTTTAAGGAACACTATGGCTGCGTCCGAAATCGCTTACTACTCAGTAACTACTCTTACTACTGCATTCGAGTTTAAATGTACTACACGGCCATTAGAAAAGTACGTTCTACACAGTATTAATGTGAGTAGTATGAACTGAACTCGGATGTACTACACCCGCCATTTTGTCATGATCACGTGAGTTGCACTTCACTTCCATTTATGAACTCTCTCGCAGGGCATCATGGGATCGCGTAGCGTACATCTGATGCACACTTCAGAATCTCTTACGCCCTATTCACACGGGGCTTCAGCGTCAACGCTTGACAGAGGGCGTGTCTGAAGTTGGAGCTGAAACGATCGTCATAGAAGCGTCAGCCAATGAAATTCAGTCAGCAATAGGCCACTGTCTGAGCTGGTGTATTTGCATACAGCGATCTGATTTGCTGACGCTTCCGTTGGCGCTTGAAAAGTTTAGCTGGTCCCAACTTCTGCAGCGAGGAACGCTTCTGAAGCGGCGCCGACGGATCCACAATGCAGTTCGGCAACGCCTGACGTCACCCATTCAAAGTGAATGGGAAGCGTTGACGCTGACGCCCCGTGTGAATAGGGCATTAGGAAGTAGTAGAAGTCATCTGGGTACTTCTCGCATACTATTTTTCGAATTCTATTAATTCAGACATACTACTCGGCTCGCATGCTGTTTTTAGCATACTAATGTATATAATATGGAAGCATGTGATTTAGTATGCAGCCCATGAGGAATTCCTGTTTTTTTTGTGAGTATTTGTAGTTTCACGCGAGAGTAACCTCTGGACACTGGAGGAAATTTACTAGTGATCACACAACTGTGTTTCCCTGACAAGTATGTACATGACAGTCAATGACGTTTGCAATTTTCATTAATTCATTTTCTTGTCTGCTTAGTCCCTTTATTATCTGGGGTTGCCACAGCAGAATGAACCGCCAACTTATCAAGTACGTTTTTATGCAGCCGATACCCTTCCAGCTGCAACCCATCTCTGGGAAACATCCACAAACAGTCATTCACACACACACTATGGACAATTAAGCCTACCCAATTCACCTGTACTGCATGTGTTTGGACTGTGGGGGAAACCGGAGCACCCGGAGGAAACCCACGCGAACTGAGGGAGAACATGCAAACTCCACACAGAAATGCCAACTGAGCGGAGGATCGAACCAGCGACCTAGCGACCTTCTTGCTGTGAGGCAACAGCAATACCTACTGCGCAGCGTTTGCACTTTTATTTCAGTTAATTGCTTAGCCTTAATCTACTTTATAGCATTTACGAACACAGGCTTTTGACATGTGCACTACAAAGATTCATCCCCTTTCCAGCATCTGTTTAGTTTGCATGTAAAAACTGTATAGGTATTGTATAAATATACTTTGGAAACTCTAAATTGTAAAGTTGAAGGAGGTTTTGTTTTCAGTTGTTAACCCCAAACTGCCTACAAGAAATATTTGCTATGTCCATGCAAATTTTTATTTCTATTTCCATTTCTATTTATCTGTTTGTACAGCACTTTGGGCAACCCTAAATGTGGTTTGAAAAACTCTACACTCAGCTTTGTACATGATTTCCATTTGTCTTGGAAAAGCAGAAATATGCGTAATTGGACATTAGGAGTTGCCAACACAATCTCACGGCAATTCGTAACTTTTTTATTTAGTGGCTAATTCGTATGAATTCGTATGATCTAATTCGTACAATTTAGTACGATTTGCTTATCCCCCAATGACGGTTGGGGTTAGGGGTGGGGTCAGGTGCCACGCCTCCTTTTTAAAATCGTACCATTTCGTACGACTGAACTCGTACGAATTCCTACGAATTAGCCACTAAACTGGCAAAACGTAAAATACTTACATTTCTCGTGAGATCAGGCTGGAGTTGCAGCACAGCTGTGATTTTCTACTTTGACGCTGGCAATCATTAATCTTACAACAAGCAGTGTTATGTCCAGGTCAGATCAGTTTGTTCAGAAATATTATAGCATTTATCCTTGTGAAGGTTATTTTTCTACAGCCTCTATGTGTTGTCTTAGACAAAAAGGCCTACTTTTGACATATTTAAGTGCAACTTATTGTAATGGACTAAAAGGTTTTGTAAATATGTTGGGTTTTGAAATTATGTGCAGTGTCAGTGCATTTGTCTGCATAAGACTGACATACTGTACATAATTGCATGATATGGTAAAACATTTAACGGCATCACAAACAAGTAATTACTAGTAACTAATGGCTTTTTATCACCGGCCCATTATTAAGATATTGACTATTTATTAGTACTTATAAAGAACATAATCTGGATGACCTTATTCTAATCTTAATAACTATTAATATGCAGCAAATTAGGTGTTTATTGAGGCAAAAAAAATATGTTTATTAATAGTGAAAACTGTACCTTATAATAAAGTGCAACTGAAGAGTAAGTGTGTATCAGTATTAGCAGGATACATTAGCTAGACTAAGGAATGGACAAACTTGCAAATAAGCTCCTGTGAGAGTGGATTGAAGTTCAGGGGCATCCCCAGGACTGATGAGTAAATGTTGCAAAATGATGCAAAATCACACATCACATTCTTTACATCTGTTATTGTTTATATTTTCTTTTGATTTAAGGTTGCAGTTATAACAAATGCATTTTTGCTTTAGCTGTTTTGCAGTCACATTAGAAATCACTTTCTAATAAAGAACAAAGGCAAGCTTAAGGATTTCCCCAAAATTCTTAAGCACATAACAGGTTTCACTTTCAGTTAACTGCTACCCTCATTCAGAAGTGCTGATGTATTATATGAGATGATGCAATAATACTTCAGCTATAGTCAATACACTGAGGCTTGCCTACTGATTATACAAGGGAGGGCTATTCAATTAGTTTGTCATGGGGGCCAGTTCATGAAAAGCATCCCAAATGAGAGATATGTCTTGCAATATAAGTGATGACACAACAGCATATAAGAGCCCATATGCTGTATTTTTGCTCCTTAACACACCCACGTTGGCTATTTCTACATTAAAATGTTAATATATTGTATTTTTAAACTACATGATAACATCACAACATTATACAATGCGGCTCTTTTACAAACCTATTCAAATGTTGTATTTCGAAGCACAACAAAATCAGTGTATTGCTCAAGTAGGCTTCCTCTACATTCAGACACATTCATATGTTGTTTTAAACTTTTTAACTATTAGGGATGCAACGATTATAGATTTGGTTTTACGATTTTAGTCTGAAGAATAATCATTGTTTCAATGTTATTACTAATATTAGCATTTATTAAATTCAAAACAGTCACAAATACAGCACAAAATATTAATAAAACAAACAATAGTCAATTTCTCTCTTTGGACTTAAAAATAAATGAAAAGGTTTTTGATTTAAAAATGAGTGATAATTTTATAATGAAAATAAATGACAGAACAATAAATAAATAAATAAAAATAAGAATAAATAAAAAGAGTATTTGTCTAATGTTAATTTAAGCAAGTGTGTCAGTGCGCTCTACGAGCCGTGTGCACACCACTTCCAATATGCGCATGTGTTCATTGAAAATAATGAACTTGCATGTAGAAAACACGTAATATGTGAAAGGCCTGCTGTTAAAGTTAATCCAATGTGCGTGCGTATTATCTTCGGTCTAATCTCGGAACTTTAGACTTGCACACAATTGGCTTAACTTTGTTAAGTTGCAGCCATTTTGTTCCGTGCAACAAAAACGTGGCGTTGAGGTGCCTTTAGGATTAATTAAACGTAATGAATGAAAGCACGGATAATAGTAAAATCAGCTAACCATTGGATTCCTATTAATGATATCTGTGCATTGTACAAAAGGCCTTTTCTACAAACATATCCAAATATTTTTGGCTGTCCACGCCACTCACTTAATGTCAGGTGACTCTCTGCACAGCCTTCAACTGTAGCTTGTGCTGTATAGAACAAATGCATGTCAAATAAAATTTACATTGATGTCTTGGTCACACTATTTGGAGGGCCGAAACAGATAGCCTCGGGGGTCAGGTTTGGCAGGCGGGCTGCTAATGATAAATATTTTGTCTATTTTTTTCCAGGGCTGATTTGAAATTCAGATTCAGAGACTCAGAGAAGAAGCCATTGGATTTGACAGTTTAAAGCAGGTACTCATTTAAAAGAATATATACTGTTGCCCCCTGTTTATTTTTTCCCCAATTTCTGTTTAACAGAAAGAAGATTTTTTTTTCAACACATTTCTAAACACAATAGGGAAATTACCAACCTATGTCACACATGACGTCACAACTGTGCATACCGGTTGGAAAAAAGAGAGGTTGCAACAGCAAACATGTCGTGTTGTGCGGTAGGATGCCAAATTCGAAAACTTACATTTTTTAATTTTAAGTAAATCGTCCACCACACTGCTTTTAATGCCAACCGCAGGCGTCTTTGGCTAACAGCCATCATATGAGCTGAATGGAGTGAAAACCTAATTAAAAATGCTCGACTCTGCAGTTCTCATTTCATATCAGGTAAGTTCACGCTATGCTGTATCATATACATTAATCTTTTTTTGCAGCAACAATTTCAGCAAAAACAATTAAATATTGTTAATTAAACTGCAGACACTGAATGCTAAAAATGAGGTGTAAAAATGTAAGTGCACATACCCTGCCATACAGGTGCAGTGGTCAGAATGTAGTTGTTTTGCTTGTTGATGATTACCATGGCCTTGTATAGTTCCATCTTCTTTTCTTGTCTTTGGCTAGGCAGAACCTCGGTTTTTAGCACTACAAAGTTTAACGTTAATTTTGCTGAATAACTGTGCTTATGACTGGGTGAAAAGCTGTTATAGTACACTGAAAGCATTATGTTAATAATAATAATTATGTAATCAATATATGTTGTGATGAGTCAGAAGGCATTGAATCCATTTGCAAGCTTTATTAAAAGCACACATACAAACAAACACAAAGGGGCAATCCAAGAGACAGAACGTGGGACAGGCAAAAGTTCAAAGGCAGGCAGATATCTTACTGGTCCGAATAACAGGCTGGAGATCAGGGGCAGGCAGATGTCTTTCGTAATCGTAGAACAAGCACAGGGTCAGAAACACAGATCAGTCCGAAGCAGGGAGTATGGAACGCTCAGAAATGACAGCCAGGCAAATCAAGACTTCACAACGAACCGGAGAGTGAGTGCGGTATATATACACGAGAGCTAATGAGTTGCACCTGGACCGCAATCAGTGCCAGGTAGCAGGGCTTATGGGAGTTTGAGTCCGTGAGTCGAATTAGAATTCTGGCGATGGCTCCCTCTGGTGGTGCACAAGAGGATTGGCATCGCCCTCATTTACAACAATATAACTTATCTCTGATACAGCAATAAACTGTACTGCATCGAATGTCATTCTCTCACTGTAAATGCTAGTGCTTTCGTTTTTTTCTTCTTCTGCAACCTTGCTGTGCACGCATCCTGAATGTTTACAAACAAGTAATTCGTCTATAGTTTTAATTACTCATTTCTAATAACTAATTTATTTTATATTTGCCATGCTGACAGTAAATAATATTTTACTAGATATTTTATTGACACTAGTATTTAGCTTAAAGTGACATTAAATGTTTAACTAGGTTAATTAGGTTAACTAGGCAGGTTAGGGTAATTAGGCAAGTTATTGTATAACGATGGTTTGTTCTGTAGACTATTGTTAATAATATATATAGTTTAATGGGGCTAATAATTTTGACCTTAAAATGGCTTTAAAAAAATGTAAAACTGCTTTTATTTTAGACAAAATAAAACAAAAAGACTTTCTCAAGAAGAAAAAAAAAATTATCAAACATACTGTGAAAATTTTCTTGCTCTGTTAAACATCATTTGGGAAATATAAAAAAAATAATAAAGGGGGGCTAATAATTCTGACTTCAACTGATATTATTGTTTTTTCTAAGAAAATCACTAAATAAAACTAATTTTCATTCTTTCCCTCTTGTTGAGAGTGAAAAATGTCACTGACACGTGAGCAATTTTATAACAAGGGAATTAGGCCGTATATGGGTCGTTTTGCAACAGATATCAAAGTAAGAGAGATCTTACCTTATCTGCAATGCCTCACAATCTCTGATCGGGTAAGTGGATTCAAATTTAACCACAAATAATATCAAAATTATACCCAGATATGCAACAATAAAAAAGCTCAATTCAAATTATTTACTAACTATACTGTTGCAGGAAGAGATCGAAGCCAAGAAAGAACAATATGGAAACTACAATGCTGTGCAGACACTTCTGGACAATCTGCGCAGGCGAGAGAACTGGATTGATGAATTCATCACTGCTCTGCGGAAGTGTGAACTTGGAAGTCTGGCTAATGAGATGAGCGACATTTATGACAGGATCAGGGGGATCACAAGTAAGAGCTTACTTGTGTTTAAAGTCTGGGTGAAATCAAAATAGACAAAAATTACTTTGTTAGCTCATATTGCTCTTCTTGAGTTAAACAATGGCCCGTGCAGGTTATTTCTGAGAAAAAAAAAATTTAATCTTTAACCAAAATCTGAGAATTTGCTTTTGCTCTGGAATGATATTAATTCTCTGATGATGTCATTTTAAAGGATTGAGATTCCTTAAAGGGTTAGTTCATTCAAAAAAAAAAAATGTTATTAAATACTCACCCTCAAGTCGTTTCAAACCTCAGAGACCTTACTTCTTCTTCGGAATACAAATGAAAACATTTTAGATAAAATCTGAGAGCTCCCTCCTCCTCCATTAACAGTCTGAATAATCCTCAAAACAAACCATATACCTTCAGTGGTTCAATTAGAAAATTATCAAGTTGCATTAATCATTTTTTAACACATAAAACAAGAATAACAACAGTGCTGTCGCATACCTCTGATGCACCTGTTCTTGGTTTTAAAGAGAAGAATTTGCATGCAGGTATCCAGAATATACCTCAAGTACACAGCGCCTTTTAAATGCATGTCCTAAATTAACACTTAGGAGAAGAAAATGTTAAATAAAGTTTTTATTCTAGTTTTATGTAAGTCCACATCATTTTAATTTAGATTACAACAAAGGATGAACAAACGTGGACTGTTTCGTTTTTTGGAATTTTTCTGGAGCCTTATTGTCTTTGGAGTATAATAGAGTTCTCTGATATAATCTGAAATATCTTAATTTGTGTTCCAAAGACGAAAGAAGGGTTTTGGGGGTTTGGATAGACAAAGAGTAATTATTGACAGAATTTTCATATTTGGGTGAACTGTCCCTTTTACTGCTTTTCTCCAAATTTTAGATGGCTGAGATTGAGAAAAAATACAATTTTGCCCTGTATTTAGTATTACATTCTAGATCAAAATATGTCAAAATTAATAGTTATTTTGACTTTGATAATAAAATTTAGTATTTTTTCAAGTAACTTAGTTTAGCCCCCACCAGCTCCACCCATGCATGTCTATAAAACGACTTTGGAATAAATGCCTAGTGAACAAATCAGTGCCTAAATGAATGAATATGCCTGGTAAATTCCTTTTATAAATCTCTGATTTCAGAACCGTAAAGTTTTCACTTAAAGCATAGACGTTGACCTGTTTCTAGTCTTATTCTGCCATCTCATTTAGAAATTAACACAATTATGTCAAAATATTGATATATTATGTCATAATAACAACTTAAAATCTCGAAATAACGAGATATTATGTCGCTAACGACTTATCTCATTATTATAATTATTGTGTGTTTAAAATGAGATAATATCTAACGAAAAAATATCATAACAAGATAATATCATAACGAGAGAAATATCATAATGAGAGAAATATCATAACGAGATAAAATTATAACGAGAGAAATATCATAACGAGATCATGTCTTTTTCTTTTTTTCCCAGTTTCAGTTCAGGGCTTCTGTACACAGTACAGGAGTAAATCTAGCTATAACTTTTTTTTTGGTATTGTGTGATTCAATTTTTTTCCCTTATTTATGTTTTCCATCACATTGTGAGACCCTGATCTTTCCTCTGACATCTTTTAGCCTTAAAATGTTTGGAAAACGTGACTTTTATGAACATTTTTAATAGTTTAAAGCAGTCATGTCCAAACTCGGTCCTGGAGGTCAGGTGTCTTGCAAAGTTAAGTTCCAACCGCAATCAGACACCCCTGGGCTAGCTAATCAAACTCTTACTAGGCTTTCTAGAAACATCCTTGCAGCTGTGTTGAGGTAAGTTAGAGGTAAAATCTGCAGGACACCGGCCCTCCAGGACCAAGTTTGAACAAGTGATGCAGTTGAAGTCTGAATTATTAACCCCACTGTTTATTTTTTTCCCCTGTTTCTATTTTATGGAGAGAAGATTTTTTCAACACAAACAATAGTTATAATAACTCACATCTAACAAATCTAACAACTGATTTCTTTTATCTTTTTCATGATGACAGTACATAATATTTACTACATGTTTTCAAGACACTACTATACAGCTTAAAGGACAAATTAAAGGCTTACTAGGTTAATTAGGTTAACTACGCAGGTTAGGGTAATTAGGCAAATCATTGTTTAATGATGGTTTGTTCTGTAGACTATCGAAAAATGCTTCAAGGGTCTAAAAAAAGAATGAGAATGAGAAGATTAAAAACTACTTTTATTTTATTCAAATAATTTTCCCCAGAAGAAAAATAAATATTATTGGAAAGACTGTGAAAATGGGCAAAGCAGTGGCACAGTATGTAGTGTTGTCACCTCACAGCAAGAAGGTCGCTGGGTCGCCGGTTCGAGTCTGTGTGTGTGTGTGTGTGTGTGTGTGTGTGTGTGTGTGTGTGTGTGTGTGTGTGTGTGGATGTTTCCCAGAGATGGTTGTGGCTGGAAGGGCATCCGCTGCATAAAAAATTGCTGGATAACTTGGCGGTTCATTCCGCTGTGGCGACCCCGGATTAATAAAGGGACTAAGACGACAAGAAAATGAATGAATGAATGAGACTGTGAAAATGTCCTGGCTCTGTTAAACGCATTTGGGAAATACTTAATAGAGGAAAAAGAATTCAAAGGGCGGTTAATAATTCAACTGTATATTGTCTGGGTTGGTGTTGTGTAATATGGTACAAAAACCTTGTAGTAAACTACCATTACATTTTTTGTTATTTAACAAACTTATTTTTCTGTAATGTTTCGTAAACATTATATTATTTCAAACTACTAAAATGTCAATAAAAGTCACTTTGTTAGACTGTAGAGTTGAATTTTCAACATCAAAAGTTAACAGAGCAGAGATTAAGGTTCCTTGACAATTCACTACTGTAAAAACAAGGAAAAAACTAAATTAGGAAACGTTAATTAACAGATGTTTTTTACAGTGCAGACTTCAAAGCAAATTATGAAAAAGAAGGCCATTTTATGACTTTTCCCTTTATTTTTTGTCTATAGGTGGACCCAAACCTACAGATACTCTAGCTCCTTCTTTAACTGGAGCCACAGCAACCGTTACAACGGCAACAGTTCACACTGTCCCACCTACTACTCTTCCTCTGCTAATGCCACCTGCAGGAGATGCCCCAGTACATTCAACTGCCCCTTGCAAACAAGCAACACAGGAACCGTCTCCTGATTCTGTTCTTCAAGTTGCAGAGACACAGCAGGTGGAGCAAGTTTCTCCTCCAGCTCCGGCACCTACACCTGAACCAGTTCCCCAAACTGAAATCACACCACAAGTTATAGCACCTTCCCAAGCAGCTCCTGACATGTCCTCACCAATTAATTTAAAAGTCTTAACACACACTGGAGAAGCTGTTACCATAACACCTGTTTCTAGAGCACTAGATAGCCTTGGCTTTACAATCACCTCATCTGCTGGTGAATCTCCCATCTCCACCTCATGTACTCAAGCGTCCATCTCAAACACTTCTCAAATCCAATTGACAAGGCCTTGCTCGACCACCCAGAGCTCAGGGAATATACAGGTGCCAAAAAAAGAAGTCAAAGACTTGGACACTTCTGAGAAGTTCCCGGTCCAAGACACTAATCTCCCATTGCGACAGGAAAGAACATTTCAGGGGCCTGAAGAGACTTCCGACCCAATTGCAAATGAGGTAATAATCAACTCAAAGCACTTCACTGTTTTTCTGTGAAAAAATTGGGACAGAAGGGGTTGTCACATCAAAGATATTTAATGTAATTCCTGTAAGTATTGTCAAAAATAAGCATGTACCACAGGAACAGGGAATGGATTTAGTTCAATTTAGTAGAATTTAGTAGAATCAATCTAAAGGGGCCATTCACACAAAGTGGGTCTTTGCATCTAAAAAGGTGTGGCACAGCGCTCAGTTGGCAAATAAAACAATTCTTATGACTATTTGCAACTGTAAAAAGAAACGTGCAATGCTTGCTCCGCCTCTGGGTTCTTCTGATTGGTTCCCTGCTTTAGAACTGACATGCATGAGGGGCACTGCTTGTAAATTTTGAGATTAGGTGCGTTTGACTTGCCGTTTAGAATTTTTTATTTAAATTTACTTTACTTTTATTTAAAATCTACAAAAAAATCACAATATGAATAATTTACACATTTTTATATCATAATTAAGGATAAACAAGAACATTCAAAAACCCTCAGTCCCCCATCCCACCCCCAAGGAGGAGAATAAAAAAATAAATAAAAAAACACACAACAACATTAGCACCTACAAGAGTTGTCAAAGCAACTAAATAAATATACATAAAATATAAATAACACATGCACACATTAATAAAAGGAGTAGAGATCTTTCTTAAAAAAAAAAAAAAAAAAATATATATATATATATATATATATATATATATATATATATATATATATATATATATATATATATATATCAGTGAAGAGGTGAGTTGTATTGCTGACAAAATTTATTAGAGGATCCCAGTATTTATAAAAACTTTTCAGTGGAACCTACTAATGTAAACTTAACTTTTTCAATAAATAGAAAAGTTATCAAATTTTCTAACGATGAGTGGGAGGAGGTTTAAGAGACTTCAAGTGTAATAAGATCCGTCTTCAGGCTACAGTGACGCAAAGATGAAGCAATAGCCCTATCCAACTGCTTGAAAAAAGATGTTGGTAAAAACACTGGGAGGGTCTGAAAAAAGAACCAAAACTTCGGCAAAACAAAAAACAAGAACAAAAAAAAAGAACAAAGGAATGCAAAATATTTACCCACAAGTAACGAAACTTTGTGAAGCATAAATTAAATGGCAGCATCTTAGCTGGGATTTGTTCAGCTAAGCTATTTATTGGAAAGCAAAAACTTTTACTCATATTGAGTTTATATCCAGAGAAAGATCCAAAGGTGTTAAGTACAAGCAAAAGGTCTGAGACTGAGCCAACAGGGTTCGAAACATAAAGCAAGAGGTTATCAGCATAAAAGAGACGCAATGTTCTGTCCCTCCCCTAAAAATACTTGAAAAGAGCAGGGTATTTCTGAAAGCTATGGAAAGAGTTTCTTTTGCTAGAGCGAATAAGGGTGGAGAAAAGGGACAGCCTTGACGAGTGCCTCTTGTAAGGGGGAAATATTGAGAACACAAAAAGTTTGTTCTTACACTGGCAACTGGATCAGTGTATAATAGACGTATCCAAGACAAAAAAGGGGCCAAAACCAAATCTGCCTAATATAGTGAAGAAATAGTTCCATTCTACATGGTCGAAGGCCTTTTCCACATCTAATGCAATAACTATTTCACTAGATGAAGAGGGGGATGGGGAAAATAATATTTAAAAGCCGTCAAATATTTGATGATAATTGTCAACCTCTAATAAAACCAGTCTTATCCTCAGATTAGATTATTTCATCAGATTATTTTTATAAGACAGGGATCCAGACGGGAAGCCAGCACCTTAGCTAATAATTTTACATCCGAATTTAACAGACCTATGGGCCTCCAACTGCCACACTCCTCTGGGTTTTTTGCCTCGTTTAAGTATAAGTGAAATAGAAGCTTGAGTCAAAGTTAAAGGAAGAGAACCATTTGCTAAAGAATCCTTATACATATCTAACAATAAAGGTGCCAGTTGTTTGCCAAACCTTTTGTAGAAATCGATCGGAAAACCATCTGGACCTGACGCTTTACCATTTTGCATAATCTGAAGTCCTTTCAGAATCTCACTAAATTCTAAAGACTTGTCAAGATCCACTGATACATCTGTATCAATGCAAGGAATATCTAAGCTGTCTAAAAACCAATTCATAGTGGATTCATCTTCTGGAGTTTCTGATTTATAAAGACTGGAATAGTAAGAGAAGAAAATTAAATTCAATTCAATTCAGCTTTTTTTGTATAGCGCTTTTACAATGTAGATTGTGTCAAAGCAGCTTCACATAAATGGTCATAGTAACTGGATCAGGGTAGTTCAGTTTTTAGTGTTTAAGTTCAGTTCAGTTTAGCTCAGTTCAGTTTGGTTTGAAGTCATTATTGAGAGTCCAAACACTGAAGAGCAAATTCATCAATGAGTAGCTTTTCAGATCCTGAACTATGCAAGCCAGTGGCGACAGCGGAGAGGGAAAAAAACTTCACCAATAGAAGAGTGCAGAAAAAAAACCTTGAGAGAACCAGACTCGGTTCGGCACGACCATTTTAATTTCTCCGCTGGCCAAAAGTCTCTCCAAAAGCTCTGTTTAGAGCTATTTATAATTTTATCTAGCTCTTCCTGTTCTAAGATTTTGAAGCACTGTAGGTTATTATTATTATGATGATTCAGTGAAATGTTTATAGGATTTGGAGTATAAGCTGGTGCAGAAAGTTTAGCATCTCCTATTTTCTGTCTAAAGCCTTCTATTTTATCACTGAAAAAAAACATGAAATCATCACTACTAATTTGTGGTGGAACATTATGTTCCAAGGATGACCGATTATTTGCTAATTTAGCAATGGTGTTAAATAAAAATCTAGGATTGTTATGATTATTTTCTATCAGTTTGCGCACGTGCTCAGCCCTGGCAGATTTTAGAGCCCTCATATAGCTTGACATACTGTCTTTGTACGCAATTCTAAAGACCTCTAAATTAGTTTTTTTCCATCTACGTTCCAGGGTTGCTGTTTTGAGAGCGCGACTATGACTATTATACCATGGAGTAGTTTTATTCTCTCTAGCCTTTTTTAATTTGATGGGTGCCACAGTATTTAGTGTGCTAGTAATGATGGCATCTATACTGCTGTTTACTACATCAAGTTCATTTGAGTTTGCGAGTGCAATACGAAATAGAGAAAGATCAGGTAAGTTATTTATAAATTCATCTTTGGTTGACGGAACGATAGTTCTACTAGGGCGAAATATTGGAGAGGTTTGCTAATTTCTAATTGCTAACACAGCTTATATAGTAAGAGGTAGTGGTCTGTAATATCATCACTTTGTGGTATAATGTCTACATCAATGACCTCAATTATATAAGACAGAATTTGATCTAATGTATGCTTTAAGCGGTGGGTTGGACCCACAACGTTTTGCTTTATCCCAAGTGAATGTAGTAAATCCATAAACGCGAGCCCTAATCTATTGTTAGATATGTGGATGTTAAAGTCACCGACAATTAGTATTTTATCAGTTTTGACTAGTAAGTCAGAAATAAAATCAGAAAACTCTTTTAGAAAATTGACATAGGGTCCTGGCGGTCTATATATGGTGATTAAAGCGAGAGATAACATAGGTTTTTGCATAGTACCTGAAAGCCGGACATTAAGCGCTAATACTTCAAAGGAGCTAAACATAAGTCCGTTTCTCTGATTAACATTAAGTAAATCACTGAAGATTGATGCAACTCCTCCACCACGACCAGTTTGATGAGCCTCATGTTTATATAGGAATCCTGGAGGAGTTGCTTCATTTAAGCTAATATAGTCATTTTGTTTTAGCCAGGTTTCAGTGAGACAGAGTGCATAAAGATTGTTATCTGTTATTATTTCATTTATGATAAGTGCTTTAGGTGCTAGTGACCTGGGGCCTCATGTATCAACGCTGCGTACGCACAAAAACTTTGTGTACGCTAGGTTTCACGCTCAGAATCGCTCACGTTTGGATTTACTGAATGTAGGAATGTGCGCAGCTCCACGCCAGCTTTATGGCTGGCGTACACACATTTTTTGTGCGTGTCTGTTTTATTTCCATTGGCGACTCATAGAGGCAGTTGTGTTAAATTGCTCTCTACAAAGTGTCTTTGAGCCTTGCAATGGCAGCTGTATGAGACATGTTCATTTAGCAGGTATATAAGGTTTCCATACCATACAGTTGACCAGCCAAACATTAAAGCACAATTTGCAGCGGTCGCCTGTTTTCCCAATGTAATCGAACCGAGTTCATGCTCGAACGTGTCAAAACATGATGATATGCGTTTTTCGAGCTGCGCCACTGAGACTGTTAAGGGTACTGCAACAGTTTACAGCTATAAATCGCACTATTTCTTTTTAATTCACTCAGTGCGATGTTCAGACCCAACTGTGTTAAACGCATCAGCTAAACCCTCTATTTTTTTCTTTTGTTGTTAATTCCGGAGGACAAATTTGCAAATAACACAGATTTTCTCCGGTCTACCTCCGAAAGCTGCACCTCCAATTCATATTCTGTTCAAAGTTTCTCTACTTGCTTGCTTTTGCCTTTGCTTTTTCGTTGGGTTTTGCCAAAGTAGAGTCATTTGCATATTCGTACGGGGGAGGAGGCAGGGAGGGGTTTTGTGCTTGTGCATGTTGCGCTCAGTTTCACCTTCATTCAGATGTACTAAAGAATATGCGTGAGATTTGGCGTACGCAGTGTTTCATACATCTGAATTTTTTTTTGCATATGCACATTTACAGCTTTGTGCGTACGCAATGTATTAGTATGATTTCCAGCTTTATGAAATTTGTATTTTCACATTTTACTGGTTTTTCTGGTTTGATTCTTAATAGATTATTTCTAGAGCACACAGTACGTTTGTTTCTTGATCTAATAATACAAGGAACAGACACAGTCTCTATGGGATTAGCCAGATATGCATTACTGATGTTTAAGTAGGACGAACAAGAGTCTATGTGGTTATAATGTGAATTTTTGGTATTTTTACCTACTAGTCAAACGGAGCAAAGTTATCTGAAGATGTTGTCCGACAGAAGTTCAGCTCCAGCTCGACTGGGGTGCAGGCCGTCAGCACGGAAAAGCCTAGGACGCTCCCAGAGAAGATTCCAGTTATTAGCAAAGAGCAATTTCTGTTCTTTACACCATGTTAATAGCCATTCATACAGAGCAAAAAGTCTACTAAACCTTTTATTTCCTCTGCGGTAGGAAGGAAGCGGCCCAGAAACGATGATTTGCTTGGCGGGCGAGGTACGTAGAACAGTCTCGATCAGGCTCCTGAAGTCCTTCTTCAGGATGTCTGACTGCCGCAGCCCGGTGTTGTTTGTCCCCACGTGGAGGACGACGACACCAGGGCTCTCTGCAGCAGCCAGGATCGTTGTAATCTGTGTAGAAATATTCTTAACTCGGGAACCAGGAAAGCAGAAAGTAAGTACTTTGTTAGCTTTGGAGGAGGCGGCGCGGACGTGGCGAACGATCGAGTCAACGATGATGGCCACAACGGGACCCATCAAGCAGAGAGGGGAGAAGCGGTTCTCCATGGAGATCTCGAACAAGGGAGGAGGAGACGTCTTGCCCCGGGACCTGGCAAGCACCTTACGCGGCTGCACCCAGGCGCCGTGGCAGCCGAGTGTCGGCGTGAACGACGCCTGGCCAAGCCGCATCTCTGGTGCACTGGACCTGGACAGAGAAACACGCGGGGTTGAGGTAGAAGGAGTGATGTGGTTGTATCTTTTGCTTACCTTAGATGATGAGGCGGCCTTAGCATTAGGCACAACAAGCAGAGCTCGTTGTTCCCGCAGCCGCGTCCACCTCACCTTGAGGGTGCGAATCTGGGACTCCACTGCTTCCAGCTCCAGCTCCAACGCCTCTATCGATGCTTCTCCTGGGCACAAGGACAGACACACAAGCGACAATATACAGGGTGAAGAGCAACGCCAGTAAGTCAAATAATGAGTGAATGAAGAAGGTCGGTAGTTTTAGCTGACCAGCAGTGCTAGCAGGCTAAAGCTACAAACAACAGGCGGATGCTCAAGGGACAGAACGTTTTAAAGTAATTTTGTTTGTATACATGTATTAAGGGTTTGTTCACCCTAAGTAGGAGAGACCTACTTAGGTCATTAAAATGTCATTAATGTCAGAAGGATTCTTAGTTAACAAGCCAGAGGAGTCATGCACCTGAGTAATTAGACGAGGGGCAGCTTGCTAGTAGCCAACCAGCTTTATCTCCATATTAATAATAAGTAACTTTAGTTCTTCGTAACATGGGATTATTAAAAAGCTGTCTATCAGTCTCAACTATGAAGTCAAGCAGATCCTTTAACTTTTGTTTCCTTTGCTTGTACTTATGACCAGTGTATGAAATAGTGTGACCTCTGATTACCACTTTAAATGTTTACCATAATAAAGAAAGGGAAACAGCTTCATATTTATTTGTCTCAATAAACACATCTATATTATTGTAGCAGACCCCATCCGAATGATGGCCGAAACTTTACTGATGTTTCAAGTTCCTTTATTTACATTCCTTTACTCTTGAAATCACCGTAAGAGCTGAGCAAACCAATACAAAACCATACATCAGCATTCTTAGATATCTTCACAAAATATGTATTTCTCACTAACAATATATGATGAAACAAACCTTATGCCTTTTCGGGGGGCAGCTGATTAAACTTGTAAACAGTCCTTTTCAGTACGAGCTCTAGTTAAACTGTTATGAAACGTCCGCTTTACCTTCTGCTCTCTCATTTATTTTCTGCTCTGAAAAACGGATTTCCTTTCAAAATAAAAGTCCCCCACAAATAATAGAAATGAAATGATCTTTAAACATGAAGAAATGCAAGATAACACCTTTACTTAAGTCTGTTACACTCCCACCAAATTATCAATGTTCCACAAACATAACTAATTTCCAATTATAACCCTCTTTGGAAGTGTATAAAGTGCAATAAAGTCCCATTGTAAATGCATTCACTCTGCTTCCAACAACAAGACCAACTTTTGAGCGGGTCTATCTACTATTGAGATTTTATGCATTCTTTTCCTTTCTTGTTTAATCTCTTGTCGCCAAGTGCTACTTTGGCTTTTCTTACAAGTCCATCCGGGCTCAGAACAGTCTCTATAATCCTTCCTAGTCTCCATTCACTCCTAGGCAATGTTTCTTCTATATCCATGACCACATCACCAATTTGAAGGTTCCTTTTTGGAGCATGCCAGCGTTGCCTTGCAATGATATTGTGTAGATACTCCTTTTTCCATCTGCTCCAAAACTGTTCAGCAAAGGTACTGTACACGTCTCCATCTCTTTTTTGTATACATATCCTCTCTAATGAACTTTCCTGGTGGAGGCAATGCTGTGGTGGGCTTCATGGTTATCAGATGATTGGGTGTGAGTGGTTCTAAGCTCTTGGGGTCATTCAGATTGTCAATCGTAAGAGGGCGACTATTGACTACTGCCATGGCTTCGTAAAATACAGTGCGCAATGAGGCATCATTAAGCCTGCCTGCTGAAAGGGTGATGGTAGCATTAAGAACGCTCCGGACAGTTTTGATTTGACGCTCCCATACACCCCCTGCATGACTGGAATGAGGAGCATTCAAAACAAAGTCACATTGTTTGTTTGCAAGAAAAGTTGTGAGGCGTTCTGGATCAAGTTCTTGCAATGCTGAATTCAATTCATTCTTTGCGCCTATGAAATTGGTACCTTGGTCACATTTTATTTGCCTTACTGTGCCTCGAATTGCAATAAAGCATCTCAGACTGTTAATAAATGCATCCGTCGACATGTCTTCTAACATTTCAATATGAATAGCTCTTGAACACAAGCATGTTAGAAGCAGACCGTACCTCTTGTGATTTTTTCTCCCTTCTTTAGTCATGAATGGACCAAAGCAGTCCATGCCACAATACATAAAAGGCGGCGAAGGCTCTACACGTTCTGAGGGGAGATCACTCATCCTCTGGCCTTCAGCAGATCTTCTCATCCTTCTACAAGTCACACAGTTGAGAATGTAAGATGTGACCACTCTGCTTATTCCAGGTATCCAATAGCCGCATGATCTGATATTATTGATTGTGAAACCCTTGCCTTGATGCTTTACACATTCATGGCAGTGTGCAATAATCAACTTTGTAACATGGTGTTCCTTTGGCAGGATCCATGGATGCTTGAATGCGTGAGTATATGATGAGTGATCTAATCTGCCTCCCACCTTGATTATACCATCTTTGTCTATAAAGGCATCCAGATGATGAAGTTTACTGTGACTTGGAAGTCTTTTTCCTTGACTCAACACTTGCCTTTGTACTCCTTTTAGAATCAAGCATTTAGCGTCTTCTTGTTCACTTACGGATGCTGGTGAATTGGTTTTATCTTTCTTAATCCATCTCAGAAGGCGTGCAACAGCTTTGATAGTCTTAGACCAAGATGAGAACTTGGACAATCGGTCTACAAAATCTTTATTTTCCATGGTCTTTGTGTGTAATGTCTGAATTTTCTTTACCTCTGGATCTCCGACTGGGAGGTCTGGCACAACATTTGTGGTTGTTATTTCCTTTTCCCACAAAAATGAGGGCCCAGAGAACCAATTAGATGAAAGCAGCTCATTGATTCTTCTCCCTCTTGAAGCGTTGTCTGCTGGGTTTTCATATGTTGGGACATACAGCCATTGATTGGGTGTTGTACTTTGACGTATTTTTTGGACTCTATTGGCTACAAATGTGTGGAAACGACGGGCATCGTTATTAATGTAACCCAAAACTACCTTTGAGTCAGTCCAAAAGAATTTGTCGACATCAATGAGGTTAAGCTCTTCACTGAGTATATTGCTCATACTAACTGATACTACAGCTGCAGTTAGCTCTAACCTGGGTATTGTGATAATCTTTAAAGGAGAAACCCGGGCTTTGCCAATAAGAAAAGAGCAATGAATTTCATCATCCTCATTTATCATCCTTAGATAAGAACATTGACCGTAACCACAGGTACTCGCATCTGAGAAATGATGCATTTCTGTTTTCACTACTTTTCCGAAATCAGCAGGTACATAACATCGTGGTATGTTCACATTTTCTAGATTGACAAGGTCATTTTGCCATCTCTCCCACCGTGGCTTGAGTGCAGGGTAAAGTGTATCATCCCAGCCAGTTCCTTGGCGACACATTTCCTGTAGGATTCTCTTGCCATTGAGAACAAATGGAGCTACAAATCCCAAAGGATCAAATATGGAGGCAACAGTGGATAATATGCCACGACGTGTTGTAGGCTGACCCTTTAATGGAACATGGAATTTGAAACCATCACTCTGTATGTTCCAGTGAATTCCCAGAGCTCTTTCGAGTGGCATTTCATTGAAGGTGAGATCTTTCGTTTCAAAGTTTACAGCACGTTCTGATTCTGGTATGCTTTGCAAAACTGTGTTGTCATTTGATACGAACTTGTGAAGTCGAAGACCACCCTTTGCACACAGCTCCCGTGCTTCCTTTGTCAACTGTATAGCCTTTTCTACTGTTTCTGCACTTGTAACTCCATCATCAACATAAAAATCCCTTGTGATGAACTGAGCGCCTAATGCGTGTGATTGGCTGTACTCATTGGCTAAATATCTTAGCCCATAGTTTGCACAACCGGGCGAAGAGACTGCACCAAATAGATGCACTTTCATTCTGTAATCTTGAAGAACTGAATTTGTGTCTCCATCTTTCCACCATAAGAAGCGCAGATAATCACGATCCTTTTCCTGAACGTGAAATTGGTGAAACATTTTTTCAATGTCACATATCACTGCAATAGGATGCCTTCTGAACCTTACAAGGACTCCCGTGAGGTTGTTTATCATGTCTGGTCCTGATAGTAAATGTTCATTGAGACTTGTACCTTTGAATTTTGCAGAGCAATCGAATACAACCCGTAGCTTATCTGGCTTTTTTGGGTGGTAGATCCCATGGTGAGGTATGTACCATTTTTCACCACTGGTTCCCTCATCTTCATTTACCACTTCTGCATCACCTCTGTCAATAATGTCATTCATGTAAGTGAAGTAGTCTGTTTTGTATTTCTCATTTTTGGAAAACTTCTTGTTCAGATGTTGGAGTCTGATCGATGCAAGTTCTCTGTTGTCCGGCAAGGATGGTCGTTGCTTAAATGGAAGAGGCATTTCATAATGTCCTAGATAATTTTTCTTTATTCCTACTTTAAGTTTGTCTAGGAACATGATGTCCTCTTGAGAGACTGTCTTGTCATCTACTGTGATGTCCTTAAAGTCTGATTCAAGTATACGGACTGCATCCCCAGGTGTCATAGCTGGTATCTCCTTTGTAGCTATCCTTTGACAAAGACTGAACCTTGTTGATTCATTGATACTTGGTATGGAGCAGCCCACAATACTCCACCCTAAATCTGTTAAAATGGCATATGGTTCCTCATTTTTACCTAGTATGACTTGTCTTGGAGCTAGTTCTCTAGGGCAGTTATAGCCAAGTAGTAAGCCTACTTCACAATTGAGTAGAGGTGCCATTTCGTCAGCAATTCCTTTCAAGTGACTCCAGTTCATTGCCGTTTTCTGTGTTGGTATGTGATCATAATTAGCTGGAATACACTCCTTTGTGTATACAGGAGGAAGACTGATATGTACTGAGGAACTGTACCCTCTCACTTGAAGATCCGTTACTCGATTGCTTCTAATAATCTCATTGTCTCCCATCATGGTGGTTAGTTTGAGTTTCACTGGGTGACTCTCTACTTGCAGTGTATTACTAATGTCTTTATCAATAAATGTAGTGTCACTCTGTGTATCTAGCAATGCATACACAAGCTGTTCGTTGGATGGATTTTTAACTGAAGACACCCATACTGGTACGATCATCGATGTAATGACTGACTGACTTTCTCTTGTGATATTAAGTGACATGGCATTAGTAGTTTCACTTTCAGTTGCATGCACATTGCTTACCATGGGCAATGGTCATTCTCTGATTCCGTCCTTGTCATAATTGTAATCGTGAAGACATGTGGGATGTCGTAACTTGCATACATCACATGTGTGTCGACGACGACACTCCTTAGCATGGTGGGACGATTTTAAACACCCGTAGCAGAGTTTGTTATCTTTCACATAGGCTCTTCTGTCTTTCAGAGACTTCTCCATGAATTTCAGACACTTATGAAGTTGATGACTGTCATCCTGACACAACATACACTGTGTTTTAGTCATTGTAAACTTTCCTTTGACTGTTGATTGTGTGTCATTGTTTACACTTGTTTGTGTCTTAAAAACAATTGCTTTACTTCTTTTAGTTTCCTTTGACATTCTTCTCTCATATGGTGACTCACATGAATGAAGAGCATGTAAAGAAGTGATGGGATTACACATAATTTCTGCTTCTGTTGTCATGAAATTGACAAAGTCATGGAAACTTGGAAACTCTTTGTCATCCATGAGGGTTTTTGTGACCTGACGGTTCGATCTGGAAGCTATCCAGTCAGGTAGTTTTTGCACCAGCTTCTGGTTTTCTTCACAGTCATTTAATATTTCCAGACCTTTTATATGTGGTATGGCTTGCAAACATGCATTTAAAAAGTCTGAAAATGTTCTCAAACCTTCTGCGTCTTTGGACTGTATTTTAGGCCACTTAGACAGCTTTTCTCTAAACGCTCTTTGTATAACAAAGGGCTGGCCGTACCTTTTATTAAGCTTGTCCCAAGCGTCTTTGTACGCTTCTTCATCATTTCGATAAAAGGTGCCCTCAAGATACCTATGCGCTGAGCCACTCACATACTTTTTCAAATAATAAAGCTTGTCAGCTGCTGAAATGCCCTTTTTACCTATTAATGACATAAATGATGACTTCCATTCCACAAACTGTATTGGGTCTCCGTTGAACACTGTAGGCTCAGGTAGGGGTAACCTGTTTATGGCTATGCTGTCCTGAACTGCTTGAGCAAGGTGAGACACTTCACTGAGCGATGCTGACTGAAGAACATAAGATTCCTGAAGCTGCCTTTCATTTCTCGGCCCCTGCTTTTCACTTTTTATTGACTGATTTCTTGTTTCCTCCTTTATTTCTTCATCATAGGATTTTACTCTGGCACGAGCAACCTCTATATCCTTTTCTACTTGCAAACATTCCAGTTCAAACCTTTGAGTTTCTAAATCTTTTTTGAATTGCTCTTCTATATTTCTTAATTTTTCCTTTTGTTGCCTTTCTGCTTGCATCATCTTGTATTCAGCCTCCTTTGCAGCCAGCTCTGCTGCAGCGTCTGCTCGTTTTCTTGCTGTACGAGAGGATCCAGAATGGCTGTTGACACTCATTAGTGAAGCACTGGAACCAAATATAGAGCGAGCGTAACTGTGTGCTAAAAGTTCACTTAGACGCCCCCTTTCTCTTTCTGCATCATACTCATCTACATTTGATATTTTTTCTAACACTATTTTGACAATGTCATTGGTTACAGCATCACATGCATCAATTTTACGTCTTAAGTCAGCAGCAGGAGTAATAAATTCCCTTATATCGATGAAGATTTTCATGATACCATTCCTTTTATCCTCAAGTGAATCAGCGATATCTGCAAGCTGCTTGTCAGATATGTCAGCTTTTAAATCCTGCCTTGCTTTACGAGCATCTAACTTCCATTGTTCATACAATGTAGTTAATTTTTTTTCTTTCTTTCTACATTCCTCTTTTTGATAAGCAAGCATTTTCTCTGTTGGTATATGAGGACGTTCTGAACGTCGAGGGAGTTCTGTGCTCTCTTGTACATGACACTGTTCTTCTGATGTATTTTTGTCTTTTTGTTCAATTGCTCCTTTTATATCTGTTTCCATATTACCTTCATTTTCCATTTGGAGCGGCCTCTCAGATTCTTGGTCATCTTCATCCATTTCCATATTGAACTCGTACCCTTTTACATCTCAGCTCCGTAGACCATCACGCTCTATGCTGATTATAACTCACTGCAATGCCCTTTCCGTCGTCGCGTTATATCCGTCCGCCTGCGCCTGCCGCGAGGATCTTAATCAGCGAAGGTGAAGCTCTTACTGTAGCAGACCCCATCCGAATGATGGCCAAAACTTTACTGATGTTTCAAGTTGCTTTATTTAAGTTCCTTTACTCTTGAAATCACCGTAAGAGCTGAGCAAACCAATACAAAAACATACATCAGCATTCTTAGATATCTTCACAAAATATGTATTTCTCACTAACAATATATGATGAAACAAACCTTATGCCTTTTCGGGGGGTTGCTGATTAAACTTGTAAACAGTCCTTTTCAGTACGAGCTCTAGTTAAACTGTTATGAAACGTCCGCTTTACCTTTTGCTCTCTCATTTATTTTCTGCTCTGAAAAAACGGATTTCCTTTCAAAATAAAAGTCCCCCACAAATAATAGAAATTAAATGATCTTTAAACATGAAGAAATGCAAGATAACACCTTTACTTAAGTCTGTTACAATTATTACTTATATGCTCAGAAAATTGTTTGTCTGATAATAATCCTGAATCAAACCTCCACTGATTGGCTCGGCCTCTACAATAAGATATTTAGGTTAAGTGAATGTGGAGTATGATCAGAGATGACAACAGCAGAATATTCAGAAGTACTAACTAAAGGTAAGAGAGCTTTATCACTGGAAAAAAAGGAAAAATCTTTTCTTGATGAGTTGAGAAAGCGCCATGGGTCAACACATCCAACCTGATCTATGAAAGAAGACACTGCCTTAGCCATCGCAGTTTGCTCTAAAGTTTTAGGATTTGACCATTCAAGCCTTGTGTCCATAACACAATTGAAATCGCCTCCCGGTATAAGGTAATGGGAATTCAAGTTCGGGATAGATGAAAAAAGAGAAGTGAAAAAAGCCGGATTATCCCAGTTTGGAGCATAAATGTTTACCAACACCACTGACATATAAAAGAGACTACCAACAACAATAACAAAATGACCCTCGGGGTCGGAAATTATCTGTGATGGAGAAAAATTAACACAATTATGCAAAAAAGTAGCTGTACCCCTGGCTCTACGGTTAAAGTTAGAGTGAAACGCATGACCTATCCATGGTTTTCTTATTCTGATGTGTTCCTTAACACACAGATGTGTTTCTCGTAAAAAAATTTATATCAAAATTAAAATTTTTAAGATGAGAAAACACTCTCGAACGTTTGATTAGTACTCCTAAACCTTGAACATTCCAGCTAATAAAATAAACCAAAGAACCTCTGCCACTTAGTCCTGTGTTAAAAACAGCCATTCCTATGGTGCAAAAATGATTAATCAATCAGGCAAAAAGACCTCAGTAAAAAAAAAGAAAAGAGACAAAAAACAAAGTACAATTATGTGCCTAAATGTTCTCCTCCAAACAAATAACAACCCTGGAACTAACAGAACAAAAGAAAAAAGCAAAAGATTAGCGCAATCAATTTGAGGCGGGGTTGACAGGATGTTTTTCATGGTGTTAAAGAAAATCTCCATCATGAATTCTCTTGGATTTTTAACTTCAATCCCCTCTGGAAAGCCAACCACTTGTAGATTCTGTCGCTTCGATCGAGAGATCAAATCATCAACTGCAGGCCCCAACGTAGCATTTAAATCCGACGCCGCAGTTAATTCGGCTTTTAACGAAGAAACTTTGTTCTCCAACTTGGTAATCCTGCCGCTTTGATCCGTAAGCGCCGTCTCCATCTCCGAAATAGTGGCGGTATGCCATCCAAAGCAGTTTGTAAAGGGGATAAGGAAGAGTTCAGCAAAGCAGTGAATTCCTCTTGACTTCTCCAGTTCTAACACGAGCACCTTAAAGGAACAGGTGCTGGCGCCATATCGGAAGCCTCGAGGTCTTGGCCTGCTGAGGTGACAACTCCGATATTACACAATTGGATCTCGTTGATCACTGGCTGCAGCCATGGTTCAAGTCGATTACACCTTATCTTTTAACTTGGCACAACGACTTATGTCCAAGCCTCTAAAAAGGTTGCAAAACACAAGCGTAACTATGATCCACTTCTTTTAAGTGTGTGTTCACATAGAAAATAAATGGAAAAGTATGATATTGGAATGGAAAAATGCACTTTGTGTGAATTGCTCTTAAAACAACTAAATTAGCTCATACTTTAAAGTACCCAGATCAATAGGAACTGCCAGTAATGTAAGTGATTGGTTGATCACTTGCAAAAACCAAACACTGGCACAGTCTTTTAAAGTGTTACAACATTGAGTAAGTTCATCTTGTTGGTCCAGTTGCTTTTGAATGCTTTGCTTAAATGTTACTGTTGACTGGCTTACATCACTTCTTATTGGCAGCAGGAAAGTTATTAAATGCCAGCAGGAAAGTTTTGTTCTTCTAAGACTGCCATAACGGCTAGTTCCTATTACTTGTTTCCTATAAGTCACAGGGGTCAAACTCAGTTTCTGCTCTGCAAAAATTTTGTTTCAACCCTAATTAAACACACCTGATCAGACTAATTAAGTCCTTTGGCCTTGTTTGAAATCTACAGGTACCTACAGGTAAGGTGTTGGAGCAGGGATGGAACCACACTATGCAGGACTGTGGCCCTCCAGGAACTGAGTTTGACATTCCTGCTAAAAGCAAACAGTGCAAAACCCCCAGTTCCAAGTTAGTTTGAGTAAGGCTAAGGTTCTGGTCTTCTGTTACCTTTTGTGGCTTATTTTCTGTCTTTTCTATAGGTTGTTCAGAGGCACAATGGTGTTGGCTTGCCAGTTTCAAATGCCGAAATCATTTCAAACAGAACAACTCAGGCGACAACATCTACACCTACTGAAGTGGTTGCACATGCTCCCCATTCTGTTATTCCAGAACAGGAATATTTCAGCAAGCCTGGATTCCTTCAGATTCCAGAACCACAGCAAAACCGAGCAGGGACTCTTCCAGTCTTGCAAGAAGATCCTTGCTCATTGGTTTCAGGTGATTTGGAGATCAGCAGAGAAACCGCATCTTCCACAGAATCTCGACAGGTTGCTAGTCTTGCAGACCAGGCCTCCACTTCCTCCACTTCCACTCTGCCCTTAAATAACCCTTCATACACTTCTGCACTGCTGACTAATAACCAGCCTGAGGAGGATCACTATGAATCTGTCAGTGAGAATCAGACATTGCGCCATGTATTCCATGTTGCAGAGGAGCCGCCTGCTGAAAACCTGAATGGTCAGCCACCAAGCATGCTGCTACGTAGTAGAGTCAACTCTGAGGAACCACCAACCCTGAACCGTGTTGGCATTGAAAATGTAGCTCATATTTGTGTGCCATCTGTGGATATTGCAGAGGCATCAGATCATAAGTCAACCACCGTCATTGCCCGAGAGCAAGAATGCAATGCTGCTACTGCTGCAACTATTCAACAACCTGAGCAGAGAGAGGAGGGTCGCCCAGAGTTATTCAGGATAAACAATGTCCACGTTGTAACTGCAGCAGGGATTGCTCTGTCTGCTGTTTTCTTGGCCTGGAAGCTCAATCATTAACTGTAAAGCCTATTTGGGATAGTTTACCCAAAAATATTAGCATTTTGTCATTATGTACTTAACTTTCATAAACCCATTTTGTTTTTCTTTTCCAACAGAGCACAAAGGTGCGGTATGTCAACTTTTGACTCACAAAAATGTCATGATTTTTGGCAGATAAGAAACATGCTACGTGAACATACTTGTTTATCTCAAAAACAATTATAAAAAAAAAATAAATTATATACACAATTATCAGTTATTCTCCTTGAAAATATGCATTCCGTGTCGAAATGTCCATTTTTGTTTTGGTCTGTGTGACTCCAACCACTGCCAGTTTACCCAGTTATATTTCAACACTCTGGGTTCCTTGGTGGAAAACACAGCAGATTTCTTTTCTGTCTTAAAGGCTGCCTCATGGCTGAGGATGTGGCCAAAATGCGACCTTCGAAGGACAGCAGCAGTCTGTCTAAGTGTGACACAGATATATAATAGAAATGTTTAAAAAATGCAAAAACAATAAATGAAAAGATAAAGGTTAGGGGCTGATCACACAACGCACTTATATGTTCCAAAAACGCGAGGCGCACCACACTGCCTTTTTTGTTGAAAAAAAAAAAAAATGCAGTGCGCTTTTTATGTCGCTAAGCAACGACAGAATCAGCTGCGTATTGTGCTCGAGTGTTGCTGTTGATATAATTTAATTGTATATTTAATAATATTCTGATATTCAAAGTTTGTGAAGTCATACAGCACCAGATAAGTTAAAACAGCAGCCTATAGTCTCTCCTCCATTTTCAAAAGTCTCCATAGTCATCTTGACAACACGAAGATTGCTGTGACCTCAATGGAAACTCCGCCTCTGCTTTCATTTGATTGGAGAATAAAACAGATGTGACTGACGTAACACACTTTTTCCGCTCAGACTTTTTTTCAATCACAAGCACACAGCACACAACAGCAAAATCACAAGGCGCAGCAGGCGGTTAATACATGAGGCATGCAGGACGCATAAAGCCTGGGTTACTTCTGTGTCAAGTGATCAGCGTGACCCATGGCACATGCAATGCGCAGAGCCGAGCATTTATACTTCTGCACGCTGTTTCTGTTGCTCTGCTATAACACTTCCGAAACGTTAGCTGGCAGTAGGTGTTTAAGTTGTGTCGAGTTTCTTCACTGGTGTTTTGTTTTTTCTGAACACTACCTTAATGTACAAGTGGCTCAAAGTCAGTCGCATGAGTCAGTCGCATGAGGAGGGGCCAGGTGAAATAAATCCTCTTAAATATTTTGAATTTGCACTGAAATGATTCAACCACTAGGTGTCAATCCTGCATACTGCACATTTAAGCAAAATGCCTTGCTAAAATGCTTTTTGATACAAGAAACTGACAAAAATGACCTTAAAAGTACTCCAAGTAATGTGTGTGCTACCTTAAGGTTTCTGTGAGGAAACCAAAACTCTTATATGCTTTTATTCATATCTATTTATTTTCGTGTGTGTGTGTGTAGACCTAAATATAATCCTCAATTCTCACATCTTACTTATGCCTTGAATTTCAGGGCTTGCATGTATATTCTGTTGCACCAGTAAAATCAGATTCACTGCTGAAAATAGTGTCATGTTTCCTTGTCATGCACCCCAGCTTGACATATATTACGCTGTAATACAAACAGTCTTGTGTGTGAAAGATTCCAAATATAGAGCTTTAGCATAAACTTTATTTGAAATAGAAAGTCGTTTGGAAAAATTATTTGCTCATGCAGAATGAAATCTAAAATAACTCTGCATGAGTGTTTTCTCTCTCATCTTGTTTCTTTTAAATTCTCAATTACAGATGCCTGCATGAACTCTGTATTCTCCACTGCCTTCCCCATGAGAATGTCTAACAGGCACTTTCTATTTTACTATCAAACTTAAAGCATACATGCTCACAACCAAAATCTCATCCACAGCTGAGGAGTGTCAAAATGTCTTTTCCTGATGCCTGGTGTAAGAGGTACCAATAATGCATCATGCCAATGCCCAATGCACAGCTAAAGAGTAAAAAAATAGATTTTATGCACAGTATATAATAAAAATAACAAGTTTATGTATTCTCTTTAATTTATGTAAATTTGATCAGCAAGTGCACTTTTGTCTGAACTGTTTAATGTGCAAATCATACATGAATGTGATTTTAAAAGCACTGTATGTGGTAATCTAGGGATATTTTAAAAGCATTTTTATCGGTGCAGGTGTTTGCTAGACACTGTAATACAGGGAAATATTCACTGTGTACATTCTGCTTTTTTGTGTACTGGTCAATCTTGATTGTTCCTGTTCTTAAAGATTTTTACAAATGCTGAAATAAAAAATGTCCTACCTTGAGTCTCTAGTAGTCATGGTACAGACAAATGCATATGACAAGCCGTTTTAACTTTAAATCTAAAGATGTACTGGTATCCGTTTTCATGCTACTAATCAGCTACTAGTATCTTTGCCATTAAGTACAAGTAAGCATTGCTAGTGCTTAAGTTAGGGGGTCATTGTTACAGTATAACTATTCACTTAAGTTAGTAACACTGAGTTAATATTAATTAAGACTTACTCATACACATACGTAGGATAGGATGAAGGTTAGGTTTAGGGTTAGTTTCATGTAATTATTCATAATTAACTGTAATTATTATAGTAAGTACATGGAGAATGTGTAGCAAGGACACCTTAAAGGGCACCTATTTTACCACCCTTTTTAAGATTTAATATTAAAAGTATGAGCTTCTGAGTGTGCTAATTTAGTTACAATTCAAAACACTTTTCAGATTTCTTTTTATTATAATGTGTTAAAAAGTGTCATTTAGGGGGTAAGTACACAGGTTGTTGTTTTAGGGGTGTGTTGCTTCACATGAAAATTAGTTTCTACTTCCCACCCAACTTAACAAGGGGGAAGAGCCAAAAGCTCCCCCGCTTTGTGTATGGCAACAGACAGGTAGACAGAGAGAAGCAACATGAATGAGAGGACCAGCATTCAGCCGTACATGTATGTGTCAGAGTGATAGTTAAAAAATCATTTGTTTCTTTGTATAGTTTTACAGCTGCTATATAACGATGCATGTGTAATCCATATAGAGATGCAAAGATCAACCGGTTTCTCTATTAGCTGTGCTTTAATTTGTCATGGTTAATTAATCATAAAGGCTTCTCAACACCATGTTCCGCCATGGAACAAAACTGCAGCAACTAAACAAAGTTATGCCAACTGTGTGCTGTACAAGTTCCGAGCTTGTACACCTAGACTAATAACCACGCACACTGGATTAACCTTGACTGAGGCTATAAGTGAAGTTCATTATTTCCTATCGAGGGACAGGCACGCGAGGCAACGCGCTTACACTTTCCAGCCGCACCTATTTGAGATGACGCCCCGCAGGAAATGCAAACGGCTTAGATTCAAGCAAGACGCAATGAAAAGTACACAATTTTGCACACCCACCTAAAGTTACAAACAATGGCGCTTATAAGAGCAATCATGGTGAATGTTGATCCACCAGCCGAGATCAATCAAAAGTTTTTGGAGAGAGTGCTGAAAAACTCAGTGGATCAGCTTAATGGCTCCAAATCTTGATACACTGCATTCACTGTATGTTCAGTGCAATTGGCCGCTAAATGAAAAATCTTTGTTGCTCATTTGCAGGAAGAGAATGAAGGCTCTTGTGTTGAGCCAATGAGCCTTACATCCAAAAATAGAGCAAGGGTGTTGCTTTGGTGACATTTCTTTGACTCACACACTGAAAATGGCAGACGTGAAACAACAAACTGAGGATGTGGTAATGCACGCCTGTCAATCAATATTGGTGTATGGGGGACCGCACTTCTACGTCAAGTTGCTGTCGGTCTCAAAACCGCTCTAATTGGTTCACCATTTTTATGTTGTTAAATTGAAAAAATGAAGGACTGGGTGTGTTTATATCACCCCAATAAATCGGTCGAGACCTGAGGCCATCAATATTGAAACCAAGCCATGTTGAAGGAGCAGTTTTGGAAGCACATTTTTAGATTAGAACACTGTAAAATATGCCGGGTTCCAGAAAATCAATTTGTGTTTGGACAACATGAGGGAATTAAGTTAATTTATTAGTTTTTTACAAGTTTAAGTTAATTGAACAAAATTGTCCCAAATAAATCATAAATTGTTTTCTTTCTTCTCATTTTAAATAAGTTGTTTTTAAAAACAGCAAACATCTTTTTTGAGTAATAAATCGATAATGTAGAATAAATGTTAAAACGGCTTGCCAGACATATCCAACATATAGCAATATTGCCCTCTGCTGGTAAAGAACACAACGTGCTCGCCAATGAGGGCTATTGTGACGAACGAAGCTCAGAACCTGATTGGTTGGTTTCGATTTCAGTTGAGCATGAGAAGCGCGTTCATTGGTGATTCGAATAACTGTGCTGGTCTTGTAAACACAGCGATGTAAACATTTTCTATAGCTCTGTAAATGACCATCTGAAATACTGACAATGTTATTATCTGCGTTAACGGTATTTTTAAAGATTAACAATCGATTTAGTAGTGATTTTTGCTAAACGATATAATGGAGCTGAACGGCTTCCACTGTGAGGGCGAGGGATGTACGGAGAAGCAGGAGGAAGAGTCGACGGCGCTCAAGCTGCCTCGGTCAAAGACGGACGCCTCCTGTAGCATGATCGCTACAGCGGCTCCAGACGGTGAAGCGGCCGGGGGAAGTGCGCTCAGAGAGCGGCGGGTGTCAGAATCGATGCCGGCGATGCTGAGGCTCGACTCACTGAAAAAAAACAGGCCGCGTAGGTGAACCATCTTGTTATGGCGCTTGGTAACAGGGATAACGGAGCTGATGCCACGATTAATACAATGTGATGCAAAATATATGATTTATAAGAACAAATAAAGCCCCTTGGCCACATATTTGATAGACATAATTGTCAATTTTGTGCGCACACGATTAAAGTCACACATGCTACTAACATATTTGTGATTTCTGATTATGCGCAAAAATATTACTCTATTTCTGGAATTAAAAAAAATAAAGAAAAATGAGATGTATTAGCATTTAGAATTAAAACGAATACGTTAAGGGATATTTGCATATGGTTATGTATAGTCTAAGTTGATAAAATTTAAACAAAAGTTGCTTTATTGATTTTGTCATGACTGTCTTAGCTGACATTGTTTCATTAAAAAAATGTTGAGAAAAAAATGTCAAGGACGACGATAAAGGCCCCAATTCCCACATGATAATGACGCATAAAATAGAAATGAATCGAGCGTGATAGGCCTTATCTATTTTTAAACACAATGAATGTGACCGTTGGCTTAAAGGTACTGATCTTCTCAAATCGTAAAACCAATATTTCTAAATGTATTTAGAATTTACATTTAAAAGCTTTAGAAAATATAAAATATTATCACAGAATTAACATTTTGTTGTATAATTTTATTTAAATTATTAAATTATTTAATTTTAATTACCAATGATGTCATATAGTGGCAGCACGGTGGTGCAGTTGGTAGCACAATCGCCTCACAGCAAGAAGGTCGCTGGTTCGAGCCCCAGCTGGGTCAGTTGGCATTTCTGTGTGGAGTTTGCATGTTCTCCCCGTGTTTGCATGGGTTTTCTCCGGGTGCTCCGGTTTCCCCCACACGTCGATGTGGTATAGGTGAATTGGGTAGGCTAAATTGTCCGTAGTGTATGTGTGTGAATGTTTTCCAGTGATGGGTTGCAGCTGGAAGAACATCCGCTGTGGAAAACATATGCTTATAAGTTGGCGGTTCATTCAGCTGTGGCGACCCCAGATTAATAAAGGGACTAAGCCAAAAAAAAAAAAAAATGAATGAATAATGTCATAATAATGTGACATGATGTTTGTTAGAAAACTTCTGAGGTTGCAAAGATTACAAATAGTTAGAAATATATAAAATTTAGTTATAGGGCTAAAAAATTAGCAGATGTATGATTTCAAAACAACTTTAGCATTATTTCATTTACTATGAACATTGTTGTTACTTTGATAGTCATTGACTGCTAACATGATATTACTATTTAGAAATTGCTATGACAACTTTTCTGAAATTATGTTAATAGAGGATGTCTGAATGTCTGTATATAAGACCAAATTTAACTAAATTATTTATTTTTACTGCAAATCAACAAAATAATGCAGCAAATATTGCCGCAAATTTTAAGAAAAGCTGCAGATCAAAGATTTTAGGCCACAAAATTCTGAAAAAAGTCCCATGAAATTCCAACAGGTACTGATCACTGGATAATTTAGTCTTTTGCCAAAATTATTTACAAATTGCAATTTTAATATCCTATACCAAGATCTTATCTTTCTCAAGCATAAACCAATCAAACTCCACATGGCATACAGGATGCATCTAAAGTGGATCAACTACCAAGATAATCTAGAATTAATCAGATGATGATTTATTTTCTTATCAGGCTGATGACAATATTATTACATTTAAGTATTTATTGAACGATTTACACTTTGTATCATTAGTGTTTTAAAAATACACAATGTACTCATGCCACCTACTTATTATTGCACTACAGCTTTCCCATGGTTTGGCATGGATATTGGTGGCACATTGGTGAAGCTGGTCTACTTTGAGCCCAAAGACATTACAGCAGAAGAAGAGCAGGAAGAGGTGGAGAGTCTGAAAAGCATCCGTCGTTTCCTCACCTCACACACCGCCTATGGCAAAACAGGAATTCGGGATGTTCACTTGGAGCTCTTGGACCTCACCCTTTGGGGCCGCAAGGGCAGCCTGCACTTCATCCGCTTTTCAACGCATGAGCTTCCTGCTTTTCTGCAGATGGGCCGAAACAAACACTTCTCCAGTCTGCACACTGCTCTCTGTGCCACAGGAGGTGGTGCGTTTAAATATGAGGAGGACTTCCGTACGGTGCGTCCAAGCTCAGATTTTCACTGCTGGTTCAGAGCCAGAGCTAAGTTTTAAATCGGTTCTGTGACACTAGACACTACAGCTCTGAACCAGGAAAGTGGTTCAAAAGTAGCATCAGAACATTGTTGGTCTAGATCAGGGATGCCCAAACTGTCCAGCAGAGTTTGGCACATCTGCATGTGCGTTTTTGGGAAAAATTACTCAGTAATATAAGACCTGATAATGATGGGAGAAACAGCTTTTTAGGGGATGCAGTGGGTAGTGCTGTTGCATCACAGCAAAAAGGTCGCTGGGTCGCTGGTTCGAACTTCGGCTCAGTTGCCGTTTTTGTGTGGAGTTAGCATGTTCTCCCTGCGTTCCCATGGGTTTCCTCCGGTGTGCTCCGTTTCCCCTACAGTCCAAAGACATGTGGTACAGGTGAATTGGGTAGGCTAAATTGTCCGTAGTGTGTGTGTGTGGATGTTTCCCAGGGATGGGTTGCGGCTGGAAGGGCATCTGCTGCGTAAAAATGTGCTGGAAAAGTTTGCGGTTCATCCTACTGTGGTGACCCTGGATTAATTAAGGGACAAAGCAGACAAGAAAATGAATAAATGAATGGACCAGCTTTTCAAAACAAATAGCAAAGCTTCGCAAAAGTATTGTAAATATTAAATATCATTATTCCTTTTTATTTTACGAATATCTAATTAAAACATCTACAAACTCATTAAATTGATCTGAGATCAGGTAAAAACAATGAAACATGTTCAGCGATTCATCACTAGGGGCGCAACCTGAATAAAGCTGCGCAGAACCGTTTCAATTTTTAAAACCGTTATGACATGGCAAAACAGCATTTACTAAAATCACATGACCTTGCCAATTTGATACACCCTCCAAAACCATTGATTCATAACACAAAGGTTCTTAAAGGTTTCTAAGCTTTGTGAAGCAGTGTTTAGAATGCAGCCATTGCTGCTTAGTATGTCAACTCACAATAGCACTATCTGAACTAAGACCCAGTACATGCTTGTGGAAAAGAGGTACTTTTTGCATACTTTTCTAGTGCTGGGCAAAGATTAATTGTGATGCGAATATATATGTGCATACTGTGTGTGTTCATCAAGTATACAGTATAATATATATATATATATATATATATATATATATATATATATATATATATATATATATATATATATATATATATGCAGTGTGTGTCTGTGTGTCTTGGATCATTGTCTTGCTAAAATGTCCACCCTAGTTCCATCTTTGTCATCCTGTTGGATATTGGACTGATGTTTGACTGAAGCAGCTAATATTAATTTACGGTGACAAAGGACAGAGATTTCAGCTGCTGCCTGGGCTTTCACTGCCTTTCTACACCTTCTTTTCTTCTTGTGTTCAATACTTTTTTCCTGTGGCATTTAATTTTATCATGCATAACTTAATTTGTAAACTAATTACATATGTTTTCTTTACATATATGGAATTATTTGGTTGTTACCAACATCTGGGGAAAATTCTAGTTAACAGCACCTTTAGAAATATGTTTTATGAGAAAAATGGAGAACACACACAAACACACACAGATCTTATAATAAAACAAACTTTTATTTTATATGCGATAAATATCGATTCATATTTGCCCAGCACTAATCCTTTATTATGCAATATGCTAAATGGCTCTCTGTGCTGCATTTCCACTTTTAGATGGCCAATCTGAAGCTGTTCAAGCTGGATGAGCTGGAGTGTTTGATAAAGGGTGTGCTGTACATTGACTCAGTTGTCTCTAGTGGTCTATCAGAATGTTACTATTTCGAGCACCCAACAGACCCTGAGCTTTGTGAACAGAAAGCATATAATCTGGAGAACCCGTATCCTCTGCTGCTTGTCAACATTGGCTCTGGTGTTAGCATATTGGCTGTATACTCCAAGGACAACTACAAACGTGTCACTGGAACCAGGTTGGTCATGACTATGAGTTTAAGTTCATTTCTAATAACTTCTGTTTAATGGGAATTGTACTAATTGTTTTTTTCTGTTCTCCCCTCTAGTCTAGGTGGTGGTACATTCCTTGGGCTGTGTTGCCTGTTGACGGGATGCTCCACCTTTGAGGAGGCACTGGCAATGGCCACTGAAGGGGAAAGCACACGTGTAGATAAACTTGTCAGGGAAATCTATGGTGGTGACTATGAGCGATTCGGCTTGCCCGGATGGGCTGTTGCCTCCAGGTACAGGCGTATGCACCATTCAGTTTTTTATGTTAATCGGCGAAATTTTATTCGCTTTATAATGAAAATAAAAAATAATAGCGCTATTATTGTGAAATGTTATTGGGTTTTAAACGATATGAATTATCTTTTTCAAAAGCAGATTATCTGCATAATTTCAACAGTCATTAGTGTCACATTATCCTTCACAAATCATTCTGAAATGCAAAAAGAAATTGAATGTGTATCATTATATCCATGCAGTTTATCCTAAAGTAATCACATTCAAATTTATCAGTTGGTGTTCATGTGTTTAATATAAAATTACACATTTTCTTTAAGTAACCTTTGTAGCTTTAACAAGGTTTGTTTTTTTAAATGGACATTTACAAAAATATGTTACAAATTTATATACATTTATTCACAAAATATTTTTTACAGTCAGCATTACACATAAACACTTTGGATCAACTTGTTACACCTAGAAGAACTAAGCTATTTGATCTTAGTTTATTATTGAAAGCTGTAACATATTTGTTGAAGAAGCATGATTCCTTTAAATGTAACAAGTTGAAGTAATTAGTTTAAGTTTTTATCAGAATTACCTTATTCAAAAGCAGAAAAACGTGGTAACACTTTAGAAAAACAAACCATTGTAACTGGTTAATAGATCATTAATAAGCTCTTAATGGGTTATAAATGACTTGTTAAATAATAGTAAATAGTTTGTTAATTATTTATAACTGTGCCTTATAGATAACCAGTAGACAATTTACAAGCTATTTGTTAAGTTGTAAATGACTGTTTTTATTGATTTAAAACTATACCTAATAAATTTGTGATAGATCATTAACAAGCGGTTAGTAAATTACTTACTAAAGACTTGGTAAGTATCAGTTAATAGTTTAAAGATATTATCAGGACGTTATTCTAAAGTTGCATCTATTATTCATTTATCAACTGTTAGTAAATGAGGAATACTTGCAACATTAGAATAATGTCTCAATAACATACCTAAGCTAATAACCAACGATTAACACTTTGCAGTTCAGTTGTTCATAGTTTGTTAGCCATCTACTAATACCAGTGAAACTTTGTAGAATAGCAAATAGATGGAAAAAGTTCAAGCTATAACATTTTGATGTGATATTTAAAATATAAAATGTTTGTACCTTAACCTTGTTCCACTCATAGACTTCCCTGTGTGCTGTATTTTACCAAAGAAATGTTAGGAGAAATCACGGATTCAATAATGCAGGTAACACTCAGAGTTTATTTTAGTAGATCAAACCAAAAACACCTCAAAAAGAGGAAAAAAAAGTTCAAAAAAAAAGTATTAATGCTGCCTGGAGGAGATCAGTGGGACAGTTCCCAAGGTTGGCCACACAGTGACAGACTTGCAGCGTGGTGAGTGTCCGTGCTCAGTGGGCGGAGCGGCGTGACTAAACTCAGCGTTTAGCGGACGAAGCGGCAGGCAGGCGGAGGTGATTAAATAGGGTAAAAAGATAATAGGATAACAAGAAGGCGGGGAAGAAACTCGCTAAGGATGAAGCACATGGTGAGCTGTCATAACAAAAGGCGCGTGCTCCGGAAAAACATGCAGACGACACACAGGGACAACAACACCACAAGGAAGCAGGTCAGAACACACTCTTAACAATAAACTCCACAGAAAAAATTTTGAACATTGTGTTTAATGTATAGAAACAAACATACCTAGCCATCACATAGCAGAACAGCAGTATACAACAGAAAACAAACTCATGAGATTTGGGCACTTTTTGTATTAAACATGAAAACAAAATAAAAAAAAAATGTCTTTTATTATAAAAGTTCTACAAATGACTGGTGTTAGTATAAGGTTAACAAAATATGAACAACTAATCTGTAAAGTGTGAGTATATATATTAGTTAAGTGTTAGTTATAAGCTCAAGTATGTTATTGGGAGGTTATTCTAAACTTGCAACTATTCATCATTTACTAACAGTTAAATGAAGAATAGTTGCAACTTTAGAATAACGTCCCAATAACATCTATAAACATGCAAATTGGTTTCCGATGAATCGCGTAACAGCTCATAAACACAAGGTTGACTTGATTTCAACTCTCCTCGATGCCCACACCAGGGAAGACACGCTGCGCTGCTTTTCGCAGCTTATTACTGCCGGCTTCCATTGAAAATGAATGACTTCCGGCTACTTTGACGCTCTCAACGCCTTCAGTGTGAATGCACAGCAACTTATCATTTTGTGTTTATGTGTTTAATGTTATTCCAACAAAAAAGATAAAGATGAAAATTATACAATTTCTTTAAGTAACATTTTTCTGCTTTAACAAGGATTAATTCTTTCTTTCTTCATAGAGTCAGAGCTTAAATAACTCAAAATAACCTACATTACTTTAACTTGTTACATATAAATGAACTAAGTTATTTAAACTTAATTATTATTGAAAACTATAATAGATTTCTTGTAGAAGCAAAATTCATTCAAGTTGAAGTAATTTGTTTTTTTCCACATTTACTACAGTGTATGCAATGATATTTTACACTTGATTATTTGTTTTCTGCATCTGAACACCTATAAACCTGAAAAAACGTTTTTTAATTTGTATTATGTTTTATATTGTGTTGGCTTTACTTGCTTATAATAATGTTTCAACTCTTTAGTTTTTAGGACAGTAGTGCAGTTTTGAAATGTAACTTATAATGTATAAAATCTTGATGTTCTGATGAATAAGTTTGATTAAGAATCTGTTTAATCAATATAATATCATTGTCATTTTTTGTAGCTTTGGGAACATGATGTGTAAGGAGAAGAGAGAGTCAGTTTCAAAGGAGGATCTGGCTAGAGCAACACTCGTGACCATCACAAACAACATCGGCTCCATCACGCGCATGTGTGCGCTAAACGAGGTACACATGTACATCCACACTATAAACTGCTAATGTGTTGTCTTTGCCCTGGTCTGTCAGCCTCTTTACGGTGCTGCCTTGTGGAATCTGGATCAAGCAGCATTGTACAGGGCTATGAGAGACCCGGGCCCGTCAGCTCCTGGAAAACTCCTCTTAAATTATGACGTTTTCAGGATGAGTTCTTATGATGAGTTTTTTTTTTCATTTAGAACATTAAAAGAGTGGTTTTTGTTGGGAATTTTCTGAGGGTGAACACATTATCCATGAAGTTGCTCGCGTATGCTTTGGACTACTGGAGCAAAGGACAACTCAAAGCCCTGTTCCTTCGACATGAGGTGCGTGAGTCTTTATAAAGCACAAAGTCCACTTATTTGTTTTTTAAGTATACGTTAGTTTAAAATCACAGTCATATACTGAAAGTAGGGCCGGGTTATAAAGACAAAAAAAAATCATAAAAAAAATAAATTATGTTTATGTTAATTTTATGTTCAAGTTAATTTTATGTTTATTACTTAAGGTAATTGTCACATAATTTACGCTAATATTTTTTTCTATTAGAATTCTTATTTGTTTTATTTTAGCCAGAAAAAAACTGTTTAATTTATAATCTTTGAACATGATTTTTTTTACTTTTTTTCTTTTCTTTTTTTAGTTCTAGAACGTTCTAGAAACTATGTAATATTAAAGTGCTTTTTTATTAAATAAACATTAACCAGTTGTACATTTCACAAATCAAAGGAGCAACATTTATAATATAAATTTTATAAATATTTATGAAAACTTGCATTGAGCGAACTTAAAATCTTCTGCCAGGCTTTTTTATCCTAAAGGGATAGTTTACCCAATATTGAAAATTTATTTACTATTTACTCTCCCTCAAGTAGCCCCATACATTTAGATTTTTTTTTTCTGTTGAACACAAAAGAAGATATTTTGAAAAATGATAAGAACTTTTAACCATTGATTTTAATAGTAGAAATAAAACAAATAATATGGAAGTCAATAAAACAAATACTATGGAAGAAATGTTTCCAACATTTTTTAAAAATACCTTCTTTTATGTTCAAAAGAAGAAATAAACTCAAACAGGTTTTGAACAAGTAAAGAATGAGTAATAGGGTGGCACGTCTCACAGCAAGAATGTCGCTGGTTCAAGTCCTGGCTGGGCCAGTTGACATTTCTGTGTGGAGTTTGTATGTTCTCCTGTTTCCCCCACAGTCCAAAGACATGCACTGTGGGTGAATTAAAAAAAACTAAAATGGATGTAGTCTATGTGTGTGAATATGAGAGTTAATGCGTGGTTCTCAGTGATGGGTGACTGCTGAAAGGGCATCCACTGTGAAAAACATGCTGGATAAGTTGGCGTTTTATTCTGCTGTGGTGACCACTGATAAATAAAGGGACTAAGTTGAAGCAAAATGAATAAATTCATGAATGAAAAATGGCATAGTTGTCAGTTTTGGGTGAACTGTCCCTTTAACAGAGAAATTAATTGCTTAGTTTCTGTGTGATGATGATTTCAAATGTTTTTATTCCCTGGTTTTAAGGACACAATGCAGATGTAACTTTATCTTTTGTCAAACAATAACATCTATTCAAGTTAACTTCTTATTACTTTATGTTTTACTGAGGTATCATTAAAAATATACTGTACTTGTGCAACTATATACACTCACTTGCCACTTCATTAGGTACATCTTACTTGTACCGGGTTGCTTTAATCCTTTGTGGCATAGATTTAACAAGGTACTGTAAACATTCTTCAGAGATTTTGGTCCATATTGACATGAAAGCATCACGCAGTGTCCTAAAGTGTGCCAAGAAATAATAAATAAAGATGGTTGTGCCCGTATGGAACCAACAACCATGTTCAAAGTTACTTCAATCACCTTTCTTCGCCATTCTGATGCTCACTTTGATCTGCAGCAGATCGTCGTGACTATGTTTACATGGCTAAATGCATTGAGTTGCTGCCATGTGATTGGCTGATTAGAAATTAGCATTAACAAGTTGGACAGTACCTAATAAAGTTTTCAGTGAGTGTATGTCATTTTATGTGTGAATTATTTGGTTGTATTTAAAAACCAAAACTGTGAAAAGCATAAATCAGCATAGTTTAGGCTTAACACTTCCAAAACAAACTAAATCACTCAAAACCATTTTTTGTTGTGTTTTTCAGGGTTATTTCGGAGCGGTTGGTGCACTTTTGGAACTACCAAACCCATCCTGAGCTGCTAAACAATTTCACATTGTATCTTTCTACCAAACAAAAGCACGCAAATATTCATGCAAACAGACCAAAGGTGCCTTCGGATATCAGACAAAACTATGCAAACCAGGCCCTGTATATTATTAATACCAAAGAAATACTGTAGTAATTATAATAACATCTCTTAATAGAGAGTAATACAATGATATCCGTCAATAAGGATTAACCAAGTCAATATTAGGTATAGCAATTACTGCAGTTCTATTTGTAGCTTTTTTATTTATTTATTTTTTTCACCTTTTTCAAAATCTATAAATGTAAATCAAAAGTGACGACCATCAAAATCTGGTATAAAAATAAGCTAGTAAGATCTGATTTTACACACATCGACACATCTTAAGTGATTAGATGTCACTTCTATCCCTACTGGTTTTAAATTGATTTACCATTAGGCAGAGATTGAAGCTTGTGGTTGTAAGTGACAGCAATAATTACCTAAGCGTGTAGTACTGTTTTTAGGGACTAGTCATAATTTACTCGGGTATCAGTCAAGCACCTTTTCTTTCTCATTTTGCTCTTTTCTGATGAAACGTATACAGTTAATGGAGAGTGCGTATATAATTGGATGTGGATTTGAATGTAACCGATATGTTCTAAGTGTGTTCAAAATGTGTAGTTCATGTTATGTTTGTAGACAATTAATGTTATGATGCTTGACAGCATTTTGACTAAAGCAACTGTTTGAGAGAAAAGGACCAGGTAAAGCGTTGACATATTATCTGGAAGGGGAACAAAACATTTGCACTATGCGTAATTCTCCAAAGTCTTCAAAGCTGTTTTTGTTTTGTAATTAGTTTGGTGTCTCAGTTGCTGTAACAATGCAAGATGTAACAGCAAATCAGTGTGTGCAGTGTAATATTGTTGTGTATGGAGCTTTTTGTGTATGTTTGTACAAATTTCAGGTTTGTTGCTACACCAGCGTAATAAGTGCCTCCTGTTTGTTTGAAAAATGGTAAACAGGCATTGTGTTCAACCAAATTTATTTTTGTTTTTTAAATAAACGACATCACAATATAATTGGGCTTCTTTATACTTTTGACCCACAGAATCATAAAAAACAAATTTGTTTATTGAATTAAAATGATTTTTATAATTATTACATTAAAATAATATTGAATGCATCGCACTGAAATAATCTCTATTTTAAAATCAGAGCAATGGCTGCAATCATGAGGAGATTGCAAGCAATGCTAAATTAACCTTTACAATTTATGTGTTAGCCCTGGCTGAGCCAGTTGGCATTTCTGTGTGAAGTTTGCATGTACTCCTCGTGTTGGCATGGGTTTCCTCCGGGTGCGCTGGTTTCTCCCACAGTCCAAAGACATGTGGTATAGGTGAATTAAATAAGCTAAATTGGCCTTAGTGCATGTGTGTGAAATAGTGTGTGTGGGTGTTTCCCAGTGTTGGGTTGCAGCTGAAAGGTAATGGTCTGTAATGCTGGATAAGTTACGCCTAGTTCAGACTGCGTGATTTTAGCACCGATTTTGGCTCACAGACAGGTTTTGAGAAATCGCCGACAAATACCTGAAATCACAGGCTAATTGCTGCTCGTGCTGCTCGTGCTCGTGAAATGATCCCAGAGGCTCGATTTGTGTTAAAAATATTCCGAAAAGTATTAATGTTATATTTATATTCTACATATTATATTACTAAAGCACAACAGCAGCTTGTTTACATTCATTGGATATAATCAGGGCCGGAGTGGGACTCCTTTTCAGCCCTGGAGTTTCAAGCCTTTGACCGGCCCACCTCAGTTCACGGCTAACTATATTAAAATAAGGTCATTTCCAATTCAGTTTCTAATTACACTATTAAGTCTTTTTAAAGAAAATAGCTGCTTTAGAACTTTAAATGTTCAACAACCTTACAGTTTTATATGTCTTAACAATAAAAATGAAAAGAAAAAAAAGTTAGTCTCTGGTGAGGATCGAACACAGGTCACTGACTGCTAGACCACAACAGTTCTGCTGTACATACATTACCGGAATGATATTTCATCATTCTGCAGGCTACATTCTGCTCATGAGGCTGCGAGACAATAAATAAGAAGAGCGGAGCTGCTGCAAAATAATGGATAAAAAGACTGAGGCTATGGTCAAATAATTAAATAAATGAAAAAAAGTGTGACTGCGACTGCTGCTTTCTCCGTTCGCCATGCTGGAGAGAAACAGTCTGTGCAAATGAAGCGCAGAGTTGGTGTCATTGACTACAGCTCTCATCTAATTGGCTGAAAGGTACGAGTTACCCTGCCTCTGGCAGGAAAGTCTCAAAAATACTCACAAACGTATCCAGGGGGAGTCGTACGTGAAAGAGGATTTGCACATTCTCATTCAGGATAAACTCGCAAGTTTTAAACATTCAAACATTCTAGTCCATGCTTTTATGACTTCGAGACAGGATTACTGTAATGCTCTATTTGCTGGCTGCCCAGCATCCTCTATTAACAAACTTCAATTAGTACAAAATGCAGCAGCCAGAGTTCTGACCAGGTCTAGAAAATATGATCACATAACCGCAATTTTATCCTCCTTACACTGGCTGCCTGTTAAGTTTCGTATTGAATTTAAAATATTACTTCTCACCTATAAAGCTCTAAATAATCTAGCTCCTGTTTATCTAACCAACCTTCTGTCTCGCTACGAACCAACTCGCTCCTTAAGATCTCAAAATTCAGGGCTTCTGGTAGTACCTAGAATAGCAAAATCAAGTAAAGGAGGTCGAGCCTTCTCTTTCATGGCTCCTACACTCTGGAATAGCCTTCCTGGTAATGTCCGAGGCTCAGACACACTCTCCCAGTTCAAAACTAGATTAAAGACCTATCTGTTTAGTAAAGCATACACTCAGTGCATCACCTAGCGGGTTCCACACTGGCTTCTACATCTTGCTTATATACACTATGAACAGCAGCTACGCTAATTATTCTCTTTATTCTCTATTTTCACCTGGGGATACTCATCCCGAGGTCCTCAGATTAGGCGGAGTCACTGATTGGATCCAAGACCAGCGACGTGATGATCCCAAGGATTCCATATCCGGGACCAGGCCATATCCTGAGCTGCTGCTGTGCTGATGGTCGTGGGGAGTGGAGAACATGTGTCTGATTCCAGCGACGCTCCAGGGACAGACGAGTCTTCATTGAGGCCATCTTCCAGCATAAACCACGGCGAATGAAGTTCTGCACAAGACTTTTGGCCAGCGGAGAAATTAAAATGGTCGTGCCCAACTGAGTCTGGTTCTCTCAAGGTTTTTTTTCTTCACTCTCATCAGGTGAAGTTTTTTTTCCCTCTCCGCTGTCGCCACTGCCTCGCATGGTTCAGGATTGGTAGAGCTACGCATCGATGAATTTGCTCTTCAGTGTTTGAACTCTCAGTAATGATTAAATCACACTGAACAGAGCTAAACTGAACTGAACTTAAACACTAAAACCTGAACCACACTGTTCCAGTTACTGAACCACACTGTTCCAGTTACTATGACCATTTATGTGAAGCTGCTTTGACACAATCTACATTGTAAAAGCGCTATACAAATAAAGCTGAATTGAATTGAATTGAAAAACTTTTTGCACACTCTTATACATTGCATTTGTGTTTTGCATTTGTGAAACGTATTTTATGAAAATGTATTTTTATTTTGAGCACGTGAAAATTTTTTGTGAATATAAATAAATATTTTACGCACGTGAATTTGATTTTATGCACGTGAAATTGGCTACGCATGTGTACATTGTGTCTTTTGCATGAATTTCTTTTGAGACTAAACTGATTCCATACCTACAGCCAATAAGAGAGCAGCTTTCACTTGTGTGTGCGTGTGTGTATACCTGCTGCAGGCCAGCGGGAGGCTGGGGGAGAAGTTAAAAGCGCTGGAAAATGGAGGAAATGGAGGAAAAACTAGTGGAGGTTTGACAGGACTCAGGAGCAACCATGTCTGTTTGACGTTTCATACAGAAAGAAATTAGTTTATTATCAACGTTGAGGAGAAATGGCTAATTCCCTTTAAACGCAGGTGAGCAAACATGTACATGTTCTACCCCATTAAAGGCTTCTTTCTCATGATGTAGTTAATAACAATAGATATAATACGTGTTTTTGGCTGTGAGACGTAGTTTGGACGAAGTTGTCGGCGATTCTTCCTATAGTAAAATCATGCAATGTGAAAGTCCCTGTCGTCGATCCATCTTGCAGTGTAAACAAAGCAGCGACGAAACGCTAGCCCAGATAGTCATGCAGTGTGAAAACAACTGTGACACGACTACTTTGAAAATCATGCAGTCTGAACTCGGCATTAGCGGTTCATACCGCTGTGTCCGTGGGGTCTTAATTTTTAAATGTCTTAAATCTCAAAAACTATATTTCAGGTACTTACAAGGTTTTTTATTAGGTCTTGATTTTCCTTTGTTCATGTGCAGCCAATCTAGCCAACAATCACCAACAATTTGTTTGAATAAATCTTTTAACTTTTTTTATATATATATATATATATATATATATATATATATATATAAATAGATATATCTATTTTAACATTTTAATGTCTTTAAAACTCCTAAATTTAACTTGGTAAAAATGCAGAGACCCTATTTAAATAAAACAAAAATATACTAGATAAAAATTATAAAAATAAAAACTTATTTTTAGTAGGATCATTATGATTAAGGATTATTAAGGATATGTTTGCACATATTTTGAAGACCATCATAATACATAATTTTCTCCCTGAGATTATTACATTATTATTTTAAGATATGCAACATTTAAAAAAATATTTACTATACTTTGTGGTTTAATTTGAGCTTAAGGTATACAAAGACTTTAAAATACTAATTACTTTTTTATTTGAAAGTAAATTTAATGTTCATTCATTCATTATTTTTTCTTTTTTGCTTAGTCCCTTTATAGGGGTCACCACAGCAGAATGAACCGCCAACTTATCAAGCATATGTTTTACGCAGCAAATGCCCCTCCAGCTGCAACTCGGCACTGCAAAACACCCATACACTCTTGCATTCACACCCACACAAACACTATGGCCAATTTAGCTTACCCAATTCACATATAGTGCATGTCTTTGGATTGTTGGGGAAACCGGAGCACCTGGAGGAATCCCACGCCAACACAGGGACAACATGAGAACTTCACACTCCTCGAACCCAAGTACACCCGTCTGCAGCCCGCAGATCGGGGCGGGGCTGAATATGGGGCGGAGCTGAATGTGCAGCCCCGCCCATAAATGGGCGAGACTGAACATGTCACTCCGCCCACAAGTCTTTCATTGGTTCATGGAAACAGACGTTGATGTAATGTATGCTTTCGATTCCGGTTTTCATCTCTGCATGGTAAGTACACATCTTCTGTCATGTAAATGGTCAAATTATAGTGCAGTACACCTCACGTATTATGTGTCATTTATTTAATTAAAGGCCTTTAAGGAGATATGAAGTTTTAAAGCCTAAAAAAAAATGTTTTCTGTGTTAGGGTTGGCGTTTTCCAGGTTGATCGTACAGTTGGTGGTTTTATTCACTTAGAAGAATAATGTAAACTTTAAAGAGTTTTGAGCAAAACAGTTCATCACATGAAGTTTATTAATATCAAAGATAACAAAATATATTTTTCTTTGTGGCATGTTCTCTAATTGATATACTCTGGTAATGTTAATGCTAAATATGTACAATATAAAACTTGATTCTTAACTTACTGATCTGTACTACATTCTGTTTGCAGATCATTGGCATTGATATATATAGTCATCACTATGATTCCTGTGGAGCATATTCTCTGTTTTATTTTATTTTACCTCAGTTCTTTCTCTCTTTTGTTTTAATAGATTTGTGCATTTAATAATTTTTAATATATTTATTTACACTTCATGTTCTCTCTTTTTTTTTTTTTTTTACTTTATAACCCATGCATGAAACTTATGCAAAGGGGAATGTGAGGAGGGGCATGCCTAGTATAAACAAATTTAATTCTTTGAGTTTAACTTTAATATACTGTATGTTAAGCGACATGTTGATGATTGTTGGTTATTTTGTACAGATGCCGCCTGAGATCCTCTAGTGTATCCTACTGAGAGTTGTCACACAGGATGGTGATGGGACATTTCTGCAACTCTCACTGACATCCAGGACCTTCTGAGCAATTGTCATTCATTCATTCATTCATTCATTCATTCATTTTCTTGTCGGTTTTGTCCCTTTATTAATCCAGAGTCACAACAGCGGAATGGACTGCCAACTTATCCAGCAGGTTTTTACGCAGCGGATGCCCTTCCAGCCGCAACCCATCTTTGGGGAACATCCACACACACACACACACACTCATACACTACAGACAATTTAGCCTACCCAATTCACCTTTACCGCATGTCTTTGGACTGTGGGGGAAACCGGAGCACCCGGAGCAAACCCAGGCGAAGGCAGGGAGAACATGCAAACTCCACACAGAAACGCCAACTGAGCCGAGGTTCGAATCAGCGACCCAGCAACTTTCTTGCTGTGAGGTGGCAGCACTACCTACTGCGCCACTGCCTCGCCGAGCCATTGTCAGTAATCCAAAATTCAAGAAGCAGGCTGTGTGTGTGTGTGTGTGTGTGTGTGTACACATGATAAAGAGTACAGAATATGCCAAGCACTTTTTACTGCAGATTGTTACTAATGCTGTAGTGGAATTTCCCTGTAAAAAATATATAATTGTTTTTATGTTTATTAAAGATATTAATCACAAACTGCTGTATCTTAAATTATTATTATTTTTTTCTATAAATTGTCAGTCTTCCTTTTGTACGTGTGCATGTGCATACACAGATGTTCTGTAGGTGAGACATCTGACATCTAAAAAACACAGATCTGCCAGATTTTTACTCGAACCGAGAAAGAGGGACTTTCAACTGACTGTATTGCTTTGTGTTGGTGTTTTACTGAAGATGAAGTTGGTATTTATTTCTCAGGATTTGTCAAATAAAAAAAATCAGAAGTTTACACGAGTGCTGCACTTATTAATGTCAAATTTATTTTCATTAATTTGTGTCCTGATAGATAAGTAATAAATAAAACTGGCCGTTTGTGCCACACTATTAATATAATATTAAGTGTATTTAATATTCTAATTAAATGAAATAGAATAACAATGTTGTATGTGACTCTTAATAACCAAACAAAATCATTATAAAAAATATTTTTAAAGATCTACAGTGCAGAAATGGACACAGAAGGGTTGTTAGAAAGTGGTATTAAAGTATTTACCCTGCATTTACAAATAATACAAAAATAAAACCAAGAAGACTGCATTTTAAATCAGTAATATTAGATTATGAAATGATTTGTAACTTATTAATT